AAAGGGCAATTTACAACAGATACAAATAAGCATTTCTTTACATAGAAACGAATCAGCTGCTAGAATGCGTTATCATCAGGAAGGGTGATAGAGGTCAGGACAGTATAAGAAACAGCTCGCCTTGAGAAATAACAAAACTGTCTTTTGCATTTTGCTTAAACTATGTGCATCTGTGCTTGTCATATACATAAAACCTAGTTTGTAATTTAATGAATATATCTTTTATTTTTTGGTACAAGAAACTTCTGTGAACATTTCTCTGCCTTCCATCTCTCAGTCCCACTTGATACTCCTCTCTTGTCTAGCTCTCCAGATCCAGTAAAATGTTTTGATGTTGTTTGGGTCTCTGAACCTTGCCCATTTCTCTCCTGCTGTCCAGCTCTGTGTTCCATGTTCCTCTACTATCTTTCTCCAAGTCCGATGCTCTCTTGCAGTCTAGCTATCAATATTTAATCCAGGGGTTCTCTGTTGTCTGCCTCTCTGAATCTAATCCAAAAACCCTCAGCTCTTTTGGGTCCAGCCTAAGAGCAGTGCAATTGTGCAATAGTCTCCAACTACAATTTGTAGTGTCAAAATTCAATCATTCAAACATATTCAAATAAAATTACTGTGCATACATATTTATATATATTTTTAAAAAAATATGATAATTAAAAAGACTCAAGCAGATCTAGGTCCCAATAGTCTCCGGAATTTATTTCAAACGAATGTAAGAATATTCAACATTCCCCGTTCTTCTCTGTTAATTTGTCTTCTACTCCTCAAAGCCTTTAATGCTCAGCTAAATTTTCACTCACATAACATGTTCTTTGGGTTGTGAGGTCTGCATGCATATTGGGTGTGACCTTCAACAAAGGTGGAACTAAATCATTTCTACTGTTTTGTGGTACCAATCTGGCCACTCTCTTCTCTCAGTGGGTACAGGCCTACTTCATGTCCCTCAACCTACTCGCCCCACCTTCAGCAGACAGGCTTTCATCCTATCTGCTCCCACTCCCTGGAACTCCATCTTAGAGACCCACCGACTTACCCCCTCCATCACCTCAAGAGTTTGCTCTTTGACTGCACTTTTGGTTATCCTTCCCCTCCCCCCTCTCCTCAGCTCCCACCCTCATCTTGGGAACCAATCCAGGACTGTCAAGCACCTTGGGACATATATTCTATATATCAATAAATATATATATATATTTTAAAAATCAAGCACCTTGGACATACTCTCAGTGTGAAAGGTGCTTTATAATTGTAAATTTGTATTGTATTTGTATCTCATAGAGAGACACATGTTGAGACAAGTCACCGTGGTGATCAGAGTAGATTGCCAGCCAGGGCATTTTGCAGAAAGATCCAAAAAGCCAAAAAGTAGCAGACTTTTCTTGTACAATGGAAGCTAACAGTTCCCTCTGCTGATCGTGTCACTAAATTCCTCCGATCAAATAAACAGAGAGCTATGAGCATCCTCTGCTGGCCAGGAGGGTAATTACTTTTCTTCATTTGAGACAGAGAGAAGGTGGCTCCCAAGCTCTGTGAATAAATGCTTAAGTCCTGATTTGTTCCAAATGGGAACAGAAAATAAGCGACTTTCAACTAAAGAAACCTCTCACAAGATGACTCACAGAAAATAAAACTTGAATGAAAATGAAAAACAGATTTTTAAAAAAACAAAATACATATTTATTGATATATAGAATATATATTTACACTTGTCTCAGACAAATTCCCATCACACAAAAGAGAAGCTGCAACTCGTTAGTGTTTTGTTAAAGAACAGAACAGATCTCTGTGCACTCCACTCGTCTGCCGATTACGGGATGCAGTTGCAAGGTGGGTCTTGTCTCCCTTCTGCGTTGCCCCCCCAACCCCCACTTTATCAGGGGAGACGGACACGATATGTGCACACATTTTGGGATATTCTTTAATACCAGCACAAATGTCCCGGTGTAGATCACACACACATTTACAACAATAATACCCCAAAACATCGCAACGCATAACACGCAATATAACACAAAACAACCGATCCCACTTTGTAGTGGGAGGAGCCCCTGCACCTCCATTGAGGGTGATCCCGTCCGGGGCTTCTGCTGCCTTTATCTACAGAGAGCAGTTACACGGATGGGCTCATTCCAGCTCTGCCATTCTTTATCTACAGGATGACAAGCCATTACATCACTCTGCGCTGCTTTCCCCTTTATGGGGAGAGACAGACAGACGTACATTTTCGGGATGTTTTGGTTGCAAATTGAGCATCCCTCTGTACATTGGAGTGTATGTGGAATCCTGTAGCTCAGTGGTTAGAGCACTCGCTTTGCAAGCGAGAGACCTGAGTTCAATTCCAGGCAGGTCAGGGTGAAACCCTGGGTAAGTTTCCTTACTCCACACGCCTAATAATAATCCCTCCAAAACCAAAAACAATAATAAATTGGTCATTTTCAATCCACGTTTGTGGGACATTGCTGTGCGCAATTGGCTGCCGCGTTCACCCACAAATATACAGTCAATTCACTTTACAGTGTGTTCTGTGAAATGCTTTGGGACGTCCTCTATATCAAAATGCAAGGATTATTATTATTATTATTATTACATTACAAAGACGCTGTGTATACACAAATATTACATAAATTTACAATTGCCAGGATACACTGCAAGCACCAACTGATGCTTCCTTCCAACTTGACTATACCAACTGACGGATCACTGGACTTCCCAACTCTTCTTTCCACAAGCTGCAGATTATTCAGAACTCTGCAGATCATGTCCTCTACTGCACCACGCTCCGCAAACCGATCACCCCCATTCTTGCCTGTCTTTCACTGGCTCCCATTTCTCAGAAAATTGAGTTCAAAAACTTCATTCAAACTTTCAAAGATCTCCAACATCTTGCTCCCCCCTACCTATGACCTCCAAACCCCATATCAGCCTGTCCACTCCCTCCGCTCGGTGGATACTGGTCTGATACCAGGTTCCCCACACTTCTCAGTCCATCGTCGGCGTTCAGGTATTCAGTCAGGAAATTAAATGCAAACTGGAGTGTCAGCCTAGACTTCATGGGTTCCAAGTCTCAACATGGGGTTTGAGTCTAAAACCTTCTGACTTAGAGGTAAGAGTGCTACAACTGAGCCAGAATGACAAAGGCTAAAAGCAAGAGAATGGAAATATAATCATCGTGCCCCCATCGTGCCTGGCCCTCTATCCCGTAATCCCTCTGCTTCACCCCCTCTCTTGCCTCCTTCAAGTGACCTTCCTCTTGACCTTCCTCTTCGACCATGCCTTCGGCCACCATTCTACCTCCACACTCCCTACCCTCTACCCTGCCTGACCCCAACTCCCAGCTCGGGTCCCAAACCCAATTATCCAGCATCCTGGGACGTCTTTCTGATGTGAAGGGTGCTATACAAATATAATTTGTTGTTGTTGTTGTTCCTCTGGGTAGGGACCCTGGCACATGGGGATGTGAAGCTGACGTGAGCACGGCTAATAAAGGGCGGCTGAGGGCTGTGGTCAGGTCCCATCTGGCCTTTGTCACGGCTGAACCAAGCTGCAAAGTGTCCCATAGCACATAACCCTGGAGTGCGTGAGCCTGCAGCAGGCCGTCTCCAATATGTCGTCTCACTGGAAGACCATCAGTTTTTGGGGCCTCCTTCACCAAGTTGTTGATTTTCCAGGGGCACTCGATGTCGGTCTTGCTGTGAGTCCTCGGAAGAGACATGACAGCAGAAGGGGAGGGCCCTTCTAAACACCAGCCGGGCAGTATCCTGATGTTGTTGGACAGGACTGATGATTAAGATGAGGCTGGTAGTCGCCAAAGTGTACCCTCCTATTGGGCCTCCCTGCTGTGTTCACGGCCCGCCATGGACTGCGCTGGGAATTAAATGCAAACTGGAGGGTCAGCCAATACTATATGGGTTCCAAGTATCAACATGGGGTTTGAACCTACAACTTTCTGATTTATAATAATAATCCTTGCATTTGATATAGCACTTTTCACGTCTTCTTAACGTCTCAAAGCACTTCACAGAATAGACTGTAAAGTGAATTGACTGTATATTTGTGGGCGAAACGCGGCAGCCAATTGCGCACAGCAGTGTCCCACAAACAGTCGTGGAATGAAAATGATCAATTTATTATTGTTTTGTTTTGGAGGGATTATTATTAGGTGTGTGGAGTAAGGAAACTTGCCCAAGGTTTCGCCCTGTCTGGAATTGAACCAGGTGTGTCGCTTGCAAAGTGAGTGCTCTAACCACTGAGCTACAGGACTTTAGAGGTGAGGGTGCTAACCACTGAGCCAGACTGACACAGGTTAAGCCTAAAAGAGAATGGAAATGTAATGATCGTCCTTAAATTTAGGATAGCGCCTTTCATGTCAGGAAGACGTCAGGAAGTCTTCACAGGATATGATGTGGAGTGACTGTGTAAAGGCGTCACTTTACTAGGGAAAGGCGACAGCCAATTTGCACAGAACGGTGTCCCACAAACAGCCAGAAATGAATGACCAATTTTATTTAGGAAATTGTTGGCCAGGCAGGGCACTGGGAGAAACTCCCTTTTTTTAAAAAAAGGTCAGGTTGGCAAGAGCTCAGGCTTGGCAACCCCAGAGCGCGTTATTTCCATAGTGCTAAAACTGGGTAACTTCCCCTTTCAGAGTGAGGCGGAGAGAGGGTCGGCGGGGCCCTGAAAGGGAGAGAATGATGGGGAGAGAGAGTGAGGGGCCACAGAGTCTCAGTGGGACAGAGTGACCGGGAGGGAAAGCCTCAGTGGACAGAGTGAGTGACCAGGAGAGAGTGGGAGGGACACAGTTTCTCCCAGTGTTCCCGGCTGTTGTCAGCGGAGGGTAACGGGATGGCAGAGGGAGGTGCGGAGAGAGTGACGGGGGAATGAGAGGGACGGGGAGAGTGATGAGGAGAGGGGGATGGACACACGCTGCTGGTGGGGGAGCGAGGGGTCGGGTCCCCGGGCAGTTGCCATGACACCGACTCGGGGAGTGGGGGGCGGGGCGTCACGTGCTCTGTCGTCACGTCCGCTCTCCTTCTGGCTGCCATCTTGGTCGCCTCGTGCGCTGCCTCTCTCTCGAGTTTGCAGGTTAGTGCGGAGCCGCCAACCGCCAGCCCCGAGCCGACACACCGCCCAAGGTAATGAGTGAGCGCGCTTCAGGCACACACAGGGCAGGGCCGGGCCGAGACGAGTCGAGTCGAGCGGCGCCGGGCCGGGCCGGGCGGGAGGCTGAGGGCCCACAGGCGCTGCGGCTGCGCGAGGTTGGCCGACTGTCCGGGCCCAGAGCCTCGGGTTAGAGTCTCGCTTCGTCCCGCGAGCCGAGGCTCTTTGCGGGGCGCAGTATAACCGGCCGAGCCTCCGAGATATAACCCCTTCCTCTCCTCCCCTCTCCTCTCCTCTCCCGCCCCCCGGTTAGAGAGCAACTAACTGCCGCCCCCATGATGCAGGGCCTGTCCTGCGGCAGAGGGTGGGGGCCTGGGCCGGGCAGCCTTTCCCTGCTGCAGAGGCGCTTCACCCCCACCTCCTCCCTCCGGGGGTCACACATGAGAATCGTATTTAAATATTCGGAAACTACTGCGTTGAAATGTCAGTTTCCGTTCCTACACAACCTGCTCAGAATGCCCCTCCATCTGCATGTTTGTTGACGCGGTTTTTTTCTTACATCGTCGCGTTTTAACTGTTCGCGAGTTCCCCGCGAAGGTGAGTTGTTTTGGGCTGTGGAGGAGGAAACCAGTCGGAGCAGTGCGACACCGCCAGTCAGCACCAGAGGCCATCAAATTAAAGTCGCAGAGCCCTGCGCTCCCTTTACGCTTCGTTTCTATCTGAATTGCGAACGTGAAACCAGTTTTGCTGCAAATTGATAACTTGACCCCCGTAGGGTCGTTAGTGCAATTGCTTAAACCTTTCTGGAGGTTATTCTCTCTCTCGATGACTGTTGGAAATCGACATTTACATCGACTATGTTGCTGACTGCAACCCGGTGGTGGTTGGAACCATGAAGTTTATTTTTTTTTAAGAAGCGCCACCTGAGGTCTATTCCATTCTGTAGCTTTCGTTTGCAAAACTGCCTGTTCTGACATGCATTTAAAACTAAGGTTTCACCTTGGGTTGAGTTTCTTCTGACTTGGCTATTTCTGGGTGGGGTAATATTGCTTCAAGGTTACTCTTTGGAACCAAATCGAGTTAAATTAAAATAGCTTAACGTAGAAGTTTGAAAATCCACCAATCACAACTGCCCATTGTAAATATTTCGAAATAATTTCGCAACCGCTGTGGTGTGACTTATTTGGAATAGTCATTGGTTTGACGGCTTTGCCCCACAACTGTGAAGTCTATTTGTACCATCATTTGTGTTGCAATGAATGGGTGGAAAAGTGGTCAGATTATTGTATTAGATCATTACTTTGCTCACGCCCCCGTTCAGAGTTGAATAAAGTCCAAGCATGTAAATTTTGAATTTAAGGTGATCTTTTGGAATTGAATAATATTTTTTGGAATGCTGATAAACCTTTATTTTCTAATTTTTAAATAATGGTATTTCAGATGAAAGAAACGATCATGAATCAGGAAAAACTTGCCAAACTGCAGGCCCAAGTGCGCATTGGTGGAAAGGTGAGCAAAGTTTCCTTTCTCCAGTCATAATTTTATCTTAATGTTGTAGTGTTGATCCATTCATTGCATAGAAAGTTGGCCTTTCATTGTTTTAAATGGGTATATCATTGAGGTGATAGAGGATTCATGAAGCCTTATCTTGTGAAGTAAAATTAATGTTTTGTTTGTGCGTTGTGTATGTGTACTTCAGATATAATATAGGCCCTACAGTAGTGGTTGCAATAACTTTTAAATCTATACCCATGGATTTTATTCTGATTCCTTTTCTTTATTCCTTTTCAAAATTTCAAAAGATTAGTTTTGAAACTTGTTTCCTTCTACGTTTTGCCCACAAAATATACAGTCAATTCACTTACAGTATATTTTGTGAAGCTCTATGAGGTGTCTTGAAGACTTGATAAGGTGCTATATAAAATGCAAGTATAATTTTACCATAGTTCTGGGATGTATTTCTATTGAGAATATTGTTGATCTTTATTTGAAAGCCCAGTGATCAACTACTTTTCAACTTATTCTTGAAATGCTTTTAATTATTTAAGAATATAAATAAATATTGCAGGGTTTTTTTGTATTGGGTTTTAGGTTTGTTAAATGTGGGATTCCATGACTGAACAGTTTTTAAAAAAACATTTGGTGTTTTGTGTCAGTCAGCCCTATCTAGTTTCAGTAATCTGAGACTGTTGCTTTTGGTGCAACTTTGGGCATTGAGGACTCACTGTCCTGTTGTTAGAATCAAGTATTAAGTGTACAGGCCTTGAAGAATGCATTGCGTGTTAGGGGGCCCAATGCATTGCATCACAGAGTGAATGCAGTTTTGTGGTGTAAATCTCCATTTGCGGTATTTCTGGTCTCAGGTATGCAGTTGTAGGGAGAGACCAGACAGTGGACTGGGCTTTATCCTCGGAAGATGGCCTTGGAGAAGACTGCCCTCTGCTGGTGAAGGTCGAAATAGGGAGTTTTGCAATTGTAGCCTTTTTCAAAGCTTCTGTGTAGTTTACAATTTACATCGTTAATGTGCAGGTAAGTGTAATTATGGAGTCCTGTAGCTCAGTGGTTAGAGCACTCGCCTTGCAAGCGGGACACCTGGGATCAGTTCCAGGCAGGGCAAAACCTTGGGCAAGTTTCCTTTCTTCACAACCCTGATAATAATCCCTCCAGAACAAAACAATAATAAATTGGTGATTTTCAATCCACGACTGATTGTGGGACACTGCTGTACGCAATTGGCTGCCGCATTTCACCCACAAATTCACTTTACAGCATATTCAGTGAAGCGCTTTGAGATGTCTAGAACAACAACAACAAGATTCCATTTATAAAGCGCCTTTCACGTCAGGAGGACGTCCCAAGGCGCTGCACAGTTGGGTCATGACCCGAGCAGGGGGGAAATGGTCGAGGGGAGGGAGCGAGGAGGGGGGAAATGGTCAGGGTGAGGGGAGGGATGGGAGGGAGCGAGAAGGGGAAGAGAGTCGAGAGGGGAGCTGAAGGCTCGGTCAAAGAGAAAGGTTTTGAGAACGGCCTTGAAGGAGGAGAGGGAGGAAGCAAGGCGAAGGCACTGGGGGATAGAGTTCCAGAGCCTCGGGGCTGAGAGGTGAAAGAAGACGTAGAAGACGTGAAAAGCACCATATCAAATGCAAGGATTATTATGGGCCTAGGGACACTTCTAAGTGATTTTGTTCCTAACTTAACCACTGTAATTCAGTGGTTAGAGCACGGGCAAGCGAGAGACCTAGGTTTGATTCCTGGCAGGGTGAAACGTTGGGCAAGTTACCTTACCCCACATGCCTCTATTTTTCTAGCAGTAAATAGGAACCCGGTTGTTAGTCGATTGGCGGATCGTTTTTCCAAGGGTCAAACATGACTGTTTGTGGGACATTGCTGTGCGCAATTGACTGCCGCGTTCGCCCACAAATATACAGTCAATTCCCTTTACAGTGTGTTCTGTGAAGCGCTTTGGGACGTCCTCCCGACGTGAAAAGCGCTATATCAAATGCAAGGATTATTATTATTATTGTCAATTAAAGTGATAATAGCACATGGATTATAAGGTCTCAACTCAACCGATTTGTCACTCAAGGAGTGCTCCTACTGGTAATTTCAGGGATGAACCTTGTTTACATGTATTGTGCATCTATTATTTAATATTTTCCTTCAAAATATGCTTGCAGTTAATATAACCTATGTTTTAAAAAATAGTTGTTTAATGTAAAATAATTGATTTGGGGCTCTTGAACTTTGTATCCGGTACCTCTCAATTTTGAGGTATTTGGCTGTCTCAGTGCCCGAGATAGAAGAGAAGTTTTCTGTCCAGTCTTCTGAAGTTAGAAGTTTGGTTCGTTCCCCTTCTTACATTCTATGAATTCTTTACTCCTTTTGAGTGAAAATCTTGGATGGGTGAGTGTTTCTTTATGTTACAAGTGTTGTCGCATTGTCGCACATATTTTCTAAGATTTGGAACTAGTGGAGAATATCTGATAATCTTCCTAAAATGTTTTATTTATATCCCTCCCTTTGGTTGGTTCTGATCAGCCAGTTCTGAAGCGAAAAGAGCTATATGAATGTAAAATTGTTGTATTTATTCCTTGGGCAATTGTAGTGTAGTGAAGTAATATGGACTATTGAATGGAAAACAGACTTCTCCCTAATCGTTTTTAATCCAGACAAACAGATGAAAGTTTTATTTTGATGGTGTGACCTTTCTGGGAAATAATCAGTACCTGTATTTAACTACTTTATCTGGTACATATACCACATTCAATTAATTCCTAAACCAGTATTAAGGTTGTTCGATTCAACAGCATTGTAGTTGTATGAATCTCATATTACTTTAAAGGAATTTGCTAGCATGTGATCTGGTATAAATTTCACAAATCTGAAACAATTCCGTTAGATTGGGTTATTGTAGTTCATAGCGTGATCATTTTTGTTTTGCGTTCAGGGTACAGCCCGCAGAAAGAAGAAGGTTGTGCACAGAACAGCAACGGCAGATGACAAAAAGCTCCAGTTCTCCTTAAAGAAGCTCGGCGTGAACAACATCTCTGGCATTGAAGAGGTAGCAAATTCAAGCTCTTTGAAAATGTGTTTTGCATATTAAGTGATTTGACTCGTGCTTACTTGGTACATGATTTCAGGGTTTAAAACTAAGGAACATCACATTAATGTTTTAAACTTTAGAATTATTATTAACTTTGACACTTTAATTTTTTTTCTTGTTTCCTCCTTCCTGCCCCATTATAACATTAATTAAAGACTAGTTAACTAATGTACAAGAACTAGATTATTCTTGTTAAATAGTTGTGTGAATTGGTTCTCTCAATTTTAATAATTGCTCTAAAATCATCATGACTTTCTATAATAGGAATATTAAATCAGAATGAATATTAAAATCTTTTATACTTCAGTTTTAAGTGACATTGATTATATGTTCTGTTAATAAAATTAAATTGATAATTTCTTCATAATGTTTTGTTTTTGACTTTGTCACCCCCATACTCTCCCCAGCTCTCTCCTCCAAATTACCCAGCGCTCTGGAGCTTTCATTCCCTCCTGCAGTCGACTTCACAAGCCCATCATCACCTGGCTCCATGACTCCCTATCTTCCAGATGATTAACCTTCAGGTTCTTGTGCTTGCCTTAAAATGCTGCTGCATACTACCTCTCCCATGTCCCTACTTACTCTGTTCTGCCATCTCTAATCTGATTGATGCCGTCGCCTGCCCTTGTTCTCCTCCATAATTGGTGGATGAGCTTTTAGCCACTTTGCCTTGCCACCTCCCTTTCTACTTTCAAAATCCAGTTAAAGAATTATTTGACTGGTCCTTTAGCCTCTTCTTTCCTCCCAGCTCGGACTCCCACAAGGGCATTGTAAAGCACTTTGAGATGTTCTCCCTATGTGAAAATCACTATTAAGTGCAAATACTTGTGTTTAAGTGGTCACAGTAGAACTGTACAGTGCAGTGGAATTACATTTGATCCAAATATCACCATCGTTCAATACAAACTTTTCGTCAACATTTATGTAGCACCAGACTTTGTTCTGCTAAGTTTTTAGGGTATACAGCACTCTTTCAATGTTCTTTTCCTACTACACTAGCTGTTAGTGCATAATCTCAATATTGTAATGAATTTTATGTTTTGCAGGTGAACATGTTCACAAACCAGGGAACAGTCATCCATTTCAATAACCCTAAAGTTCAGGCTTCACTTGCAGCAAATACATTTACTATCACAGGACATGCAGAGACTAAACAACTAACTGAGATGCTACCTAGCATTCTGAATCAGCTTGGAGCTGATAGTCTAACCAGCTTGAGGCGGCTGGCAGAGGCACTGCCTAAACAACGTTAGTATCTGATCTTTGATCATCGTGAAACCATCCAACAATTTTTTAAAAAAAAAACTAGAGGGTTTTATGGGAGTTTGGATTTGCATGTAATTTTGTTTCTTAAACCTACTGCTAATTTCAGTGATTTGCGGTGCTATTTAGACAGCCAGTTTAGAATAAATATTGCATTGTTGTACAGTATGTTTACTATAAAGATGTAGTTACCCGTTTTAATATGATTTGGAAGTGAAGCGCTTTGAGACCTCTCGATGATGTGATAAAGCGCTATATCAAATGCAAGGATTATTATTTTGTAGCACAAGAATCTTAATGTAGTGTATTTTTAACTGCTTCATTGCGTGACAAAATAGATTATGCCTCGTAGCAGAACTTGATCTTATGTGCTTTGTAATTCTGACTTATTGCGATCGGAGTTTGGATCCTGATGTTTTCTTTGTAAAAGTACTTAGATGCATCAGTGCAGCACAATGCGATTTGAATGTGATTTTTTTAATGTCAAACGCAATGAAGCCATCCAGCTTTCGGGGGGGGGGGGGGTGTGTGTGCGCGCGCAGCAATATCACTGTATGTAGCACATTGTGACTGCCCTTGTTCTTGCTCCATTGTAAAGCAGGTTGATTGTTATGGCACTCCATCCTAGCTAACTCCCATTTTATAATTAAGTTCTACTATTTATTTAGTACTGTGGCACAGTTTACTCCTTGATCTATGAAGCAATGTGTCTTTGGTTTCCCTACTAAATAAGCTCTTGTTTTTACAGCTGTGGACAGCAAAGCACCACTTGCATCTGGTGAGGATGATGATGATGAAGTTCCAGGTATGAGAAGTTAATTGTACATTGAGAATCTGAGTGCATATGACCACCTGAAATTAGTTTATAAAGTAATCAGATTTAAAGCAGTTGTATTCTTCAATCATGGTGCTCTAATCTGCAATCTTCAAGCAGTACATCACCCTTCAGTTTATAGCTCGGTTTTCTCTCAAGGCATTAATTTCCACATGTATGTGGATGACACAATCAACCAGTACCTCTCCTCAGGCTGTGTCCCACTCCCCCGCAAAACTGCTATCATCAGTCCTCCTTAAAAAAACCTATCATTGATCACTCCAATTTCACAAATTTTAGAACCATCGCAAACCTGCTCTTTCTGGCCAAAGTTTTGGAATGTGTGGTTGCAAATCAACTTCGCTCACACCTCTCCCTCCAATCCCTACTCAAACCCCTCCAGTCTGGTTTTTGCCCTGCCCACAGTATAGAGACAGCGCTCATCGAGGTAACAAACAATGTTCTCTCTCTCTGTGACCAGGGCTCCCTCTGCCTCCTCGTTCTCTCCGCTGCATTCGACACAGTCGATCACACCATCCTCTTCCCTCATTTACCTTAGAGGGACTGGACTTGCACGGCTTGAGTCCTATGCTCATTGGTCCCCTCCAACGTCTTCTCTCCTGAAAGACTGAATTCCTCAACCTCCCCTCCTGTTCATCCCTCGTCCTGTCCGCTCCACTATCGGTGGCCGTGCCTTCAGCCACTACGCCACAAAACTCTGGAATTCCCTCCCTCAGCCCATCTGTCTTGTCCCCTCCCTCTCCACTTTCAAATCCTGCCTAAAGACCTTCCTTTTTGATCGTGTTTACAGTCACCTCCCTCTCCCCCTGGCTCGGGGTCGGACTCTGTCACTGTCAAGCGCTCCGGGACGCTACCCGGTTTGAAGGGCGCTATATAAATGTAAGCTGTTGTTGTAATTTGGATGGCCAACATCCAATATTTATAATCCTGCAGGTTACCGTGTTCATTTGTTGTCGAAGAGCTACAGTAACTTGGAGAGAAGGGAATAATCTTATCATCGTGTGGTACAATACAGAAAGTGCTGAATAATAAAATTGCTTCACACTGTGGCTGGTTTCTTTTGTGTAATAACACAGCTGTCGTCTCTTACAGACCTTGTTGAAAATTTTGATGAGGCTTCAAAGGATGAGGCAAACTAAAGAAAGATGACTACTGGAGAGAAGAACTCAAACTGGGTTAAGGGGGCTGCTTTTTTGTATTTGTGTAATAGTTTTTTGTTTGATTTTGTTATTGTAATATTGCATTTTTGTACTGTTGTGGCATCATTTGGTTTTACAACCATTAGGTGCAAACTCAAATGGATTATCCCGATGTTTTTTGTTACCATCGCAGCTCTTCTAATGCGTCATGTTAGTGGAATGAATTCTAACTTTGCACCCAGTTAAAATGAACAGGTCTGAACTGAATTTAGCACTGTGGAACACAATGGAAATAAAGGAAAAAAAATCTCTCTTCTGGTTTGTTTGATTATAGACATGTTTATTTGACTAAAAGCATTGGCTAGAAAATTCTAGCTATCCATTTTTCTGATGGATCATTTTGAGTATCAGACATTATAAGCTATGGGGAAAATTATATTGTTTGTTCCAATTTCTTGTTGTACAGAAGCATGGCTACTGACTATGACCAGTCACCTATATCTGAGTTTGGGAAACTTGTTTGTTGGGAATATATACTAATCTTTGTATCTATAAGACTACTTGGTTGAGTCAACAGAAGATGTATTAAAATGATACGAGCCTATCAGTGTTCAGCTGTGAATTGAATTATGTGGGATTCATAATCTAAAATTACCTAGCTTTAACAGGGAAGTCGCCTCTGCATAGTTAATTTGTAATCATTGAGGGCAATGAATCTTATTTAGCCCAAGGGAAAGCATAGTATTTTTCAAGCTAAGATTTGAATACAGTGCAACAAATTTGTTAGTGCGGTGTTCCTCAGGGCTCTATCCTTGGTCCCCTCTTCAATATTATATGCTCCCTCTTGGTGACATCATCCACAAACATAGGGTCAGCTTCCACATGTATGCAGATGACACCCAACTCTTATCTCTCTATGTCAGCCCACGACTCCAGGACCACTGCTGTCATGACAGAATGTCAGATATTAAGTCCTGTATGAGAGCTAACTTTCTACAGTTGAATGTCAACAAGACCAAGGCCCTATCAAAGCTCTCCTGATTGGCTCCCGTCAGCACCTCCACACCTCAGGCACTAACAGCATCACCATCCAAAATCCACACCACCTCACTGAGCCAGTCTGGAACCTTGGTGTTTGACCCTCAACTATCCTTTCTACCCCACATCCATGCCATGTCTTGCTCTGTCTTCCTCCACCTCATCAGCTGCTCCACTCACCGCAGGCCACCGAGACCCTCATACACCAGATGATGACATCCAGACTAGATTACGCAAACTCCCTGCTTGTCGGCCTCCCCAACTCCTCCTTCCATAGCCTGCAGATCTAGAACATCTAGAACTCCAGCCTGTGGCCTCTCCCGCACCAGGCTCTGTGACCCTATTGCCCCCATCCACAATTCAAGATCCTGATCACCTTCAATAATAATCCTTGCATTTGATATAGCGCTTTTCACATTTTCTGGATGTCTCAAAGTCCTTCACAGGATATACTGTAAAGTGAATTGACTGTATATTTGTGGGCCAAACGCAGCAGCCAGTTGTGCACAGCAGTCTCCCACAAACTCGTGGATTGAAAATGACCCAATTTATTGTTTTTGTTTTGGAGGGATTATTATTAGGCGTGTGGAGTAAGGAAACTTGCCCAAGGCTTCGCCCTGCCTGGAATTGAACCCAGGTGTCTCCATGGCCTTGCTCCCCCCTACCTCTGCAACCTCCTACCAACCTGCCTGCTTCCTCCGCTCAGCTTGCCCTGGCCTGCTTCATATACCCCACCTCGCCCACCCTACCATTGGCAGGTGGGCAGGCCTTCAGCCACTGCCCCCCCCTCTGGAACTCCATCCCACAATTCCTCCGCCTCACCCTCCCTTGCCTCCTTTAAGTACCGTCTCAAGACCCTCCTCTTCGACCATGTATTCAATCACCCTTCTTCCTCCTGCCTTCCACCCTTCCCGACCCTCAGGTGGGGTCCAAAAAGCTGATAATCCATCACCTTGGGATGTCCTTCCGAGGTGCAAGGCACTATACAAATGTAATTTTGTTTTACAGTATTAGGTTTTTTTTAAAAAAATGTCCTTGTACTGTTTTGAAGTGTGTACAGTTCACTTTTTTGCTGAGTTTAGTGAAATTTGTTTACACTCAACACAGAACATTAAAGAATTTTATTGGTGTAACTTGGTATTGATTCTATTCAGTTAATTTACAAAAGATATTCAACAGTTATTGTTGCTTACACATCTAAAATGATGAAAATTCACCACAATTATTTTGAACATTGCCACACAAAAAATGCAATTAGGAGAAATGGATTAAAAGTAGGAATGAGAATGGACCGAACTTGGGGAGAAAAGGCCCAGAACTTGGGGAGAAAAGGTCCAACATTTGCCTTGCAAACGAGGGGACCTGAGTTCGATTCCCAGTCAGGGTGAAATCTTAGGTACGTTTCCTTACTCCACATCCCTCTTTACCTAGCAGTAAGTAGGAACCTGTTTGTTAGTTGATTGACGGATCGCTTTTCTGGGGGTAATCCTTCACAAAAACTTTTAAAAATTGGGTCACTCAATTCACAACTATTTGTTGGACACTTGTGCGTAATTGGCTGCTGCATTTCACCCACAAAATATAGAGTCAATTTATTTTACAGGATATTCTGCGAAGCACTTTGAGATGTCTCAAAAATGTGAAAAGGCGCTATGTCAAATGCAAGGATCATTATTAATGTTTACATCAGTATTTTGAGGTACAGACATTATCTGAGCAGAGAAGATAAAACCACATGACCAGATGCACATCTGCATTATAATAAAATAATCCTTGCATTTGATATAGTGCTTTATCACATTGTTGAGACTTCCCAAAATTATAAAAAATAGATTAATCTAGAACAGGGGTGGGGGGAGCTCCTACTTGATGCTAGATATATTACTTTGCACAATAAAGGTAGTTAAAACACCAAATGTAATGGAGTGAGCAGTAAAAAAGTTATCCACTTGAAAACAGCATAAAATTCTTGAAAATATACGAGTATATTGGTCTATGTCCAAGGTCGAAACTGTGCATTCAACTATAAAAATGTTCTATATGCAGATATTTTCATCACTCCAGTCACTGCAGTCCTGAATGTGATCTTTACAGCGACTTTTAGGAATGCAGTCGCAGTCACTGAAGAAAACTGTAGTACATTTCCAGCCAAAACAGGGAGGACACTGCAAAGCTAAATAAAAAAAATGCAATCAATTCGATTTATTGAATCCTATAATTTACAATACTTTTTTTCTTCTAATATCCAATAAAATGGTAGGAAAATGATGTTGCACCTTTGGTAGCTACTAGCAGCAACAGATGTAAATAGCAAACAAAGCTTTAAAAAATAATGGTTACTAAAATACTGCATACATTTTTATTAATAGCTATTGTTGAGTGTGAAAGACCTGCCTCAGGAGCTGAGCAGCTGTAGGTGCTACCATTCATTTGGAGTTCTATTTTAAACCAGTACAATTTAATGGACAGCAAAGTCACCATTCTTCACTTTTGATCCTTGATAATGGGTGTTGACCACAGCAAGCTGAGTTCAATCCTGTCTTCATCCAGTATCTACTCATGCACCTGGAGCAGGAGATGCTAGACAGTGAGTAAGAACATGGTAGATTTTCCTCACTAGCATAGCGAGCTTAGGTCAACCATGATAAATGTTGAGCTGGCTTATTCAGTACATGGGATCTCCAGCGTCTGTATGGTTCTGCTCAAGAGGCTCCAGGCCATTCATGGTCTCAATAATCAATTTAAGAGTATGAACAATGTCTAAGGCAGCATATGGTTGCAAGATTGCAGATAAAAAAGGGGATGCTTAAAATGCTTCAGGAAATATTTAATTGCAGATGTTTAATGCAAATGTTTGTCTATAATTATAATAGTAATAAATAATGCTTGCATTTTATATAATGCCTTAGCATGGTACAGCTAATTTACATACCTCAATGTCCCACAAACAGCCATGAAGTGAATGACCAATTTTATTTGGGGGATTATCAGCCAGAAACTCCCTTTTCTTTTCAAATAATGCTATGGGATCTTTAATATTCAACTGAACAGGCAAATTGGATCTTGGTTTACTGAGTCATCTGATGGATGGCAACTCCAAAAATGGAACACACCAACAATGCATGGGAGTCAGCCTCAACTATGAGCTTGAAGTACTGATGTGGGGCTTGAACCCATAACCTGTCTCAGGCAAGAGTGCTACCACCTAAATCAGGCTGATAACCTGCTTTAACATTTGATGATAAATGTTTTAATTGAACTACAGTATTTGATAATTGAATAACACAGTGAACAAACAATCCTTTAAAATGGCTATATTACCTGATTCATCTGAACAGTCTCCACAGTCATTTTTTCCATTACATTTTTTGTCTATGTAAGTCCAGGATTTCTGGTCACTGCACAAGAAGACCAAGTTTTTAGGGAGGCTCATAGGTAGGTTGTCTGATCAGGAAAAAATCAAAACAATTTAATTTCTATAATTAACACAATTTCTATATTTTTTGTAGAAATCTCAAATGCACTTGCTGCCAAATAATTTGATTATTTTGGGTGCAAGCCTTCAATGTCCAGTGACTTGGGACATCCTTCTGACATGAAAGGCACTATATAAATGTAATTTGTTGTGGTGGTTAATATGCTCTTAGATAACAATGGGATCCATGTCACATTAAATGTAAGCAAAAGGAATTTAAGCAAGACATTTTCTTCCTCCTTTTTATTTTCCTGATAGTCTGGTGGCTGAGCACATTGAAGCTGTGCATCTAATCATTAAGGCTGCTGAGGACAAATATGGAGCCATCAACTGGTGTCATTTGTAAATTATTTGTTAAATGAAATGCAAACATCTAAAACAGTTGATGACTAATAAAATGTCACTCTGGTGTACTCTGGAAACTCAAATTAATGAAATACATTGTTATGTCATATAACAATAATAATCCTTGCATTTGATATAGCGCTTTTTACTATGTCTCAAAGTGCTTCACAGAATATACTGTAAAGTGAATTGACTGTATATTTGTGAGCGAAACATGGCAGCCAATTGCGCACAGCAGTGTCCCACAAACAGCGGGCATTGAAATGACCAATTTATTATTTTTTTGAGGGATTTATTATCAGGCGTGTGGAGTGAGGAAACTTGCCCAAGGTTTCGCCCTACTGGGAATCAAACCCAGGTCTCCCGCTTGCACGGTGAGTGCTCTAACCACTGAGCTACAGGGCTCCTATGTTCCCTGTCACACACAAATGCACAAGGCATATTTCTGGTCATTGCACAAGAAAACTACTATGTTCCAAGGGAAGGATTTACATAAAGTACTCAGCAAAAGAAATTTCTGTGTTTCCATGTTGTCCATTGCATAACTGCATAAATCAAACTATTTAGTGGCTTTCCAGGAGAGAAGGAAGCTGTTTAAACAAATAGTAGTACTTAACAAGCATAGCAACCAGAAAGCATTTGTTGAAATACACAGCACCTTTCTGTAGCTGACACATTATGTTGCCAGAGTGATACACTCATTTTCCCCAGATAACAATTGCAAACCATGCACACATTTAACAATGGCCTTTTGAAATTACCTGAGGATGACTTTAACTTCTCCTGCTTTTGACTCATTGCCAGAACCCATTAAGCATTTCCAATTCTGACGAAAGATCATACCCAAAACATTAATCTAGCTTTCACTTTCAGATGCTGATCGGTCTGCAGTGCAATTCCAACACATTCTGCTTTTGTTACAGATTTTCAGCAGTCCTGACTTTTCTTCTTTTTTAATCTGCTCAGTAACATTTTTATTCTTAGTTTCAAATATTACTACGAGTACAGTTTTAAGTATAGACCCATATACAGGGTATTCTCTTGTCACCTGAAGTAACTGATTTCTGGGTTCTTTCAAATGTGGACTGAAAAGCCTGAATAATTTACCGCGACCCTTCAACACACATCCTCATCAAATGTTGAGTTAAGAACAAGGATTTAACTCAATAAGCAATGACGTAGAACCATGATTTTCAGCACCTGCTTTTCTTGATGAAGCAGCTCTTACTTCCAGAGTGCAATTTTGCGCCAAAAGCATGAAAGTAGCAAATTTAGATCGGCCATGAAAGATACTGGTTATGTACTTTTACTGGAAGATATGATTATTTAATAAAAAGTATGTGTTCTTAATGTCCAGTAAGTGAAATTCTACAAAAAATGAAGCAAATTCAAATCATCCAGTAACCTTTCAAAGGAACCCCAGATTTTTTGGTGGTCAGCCCAATATCTGACACATGTGGTAACCCATCACCATGCACTCAAACCAGACATATGTATGTCATCTTCTCATGGAAATTTCCATGTGTCTGAAATGAAGTGTACACTCTCTCCCTGGAGGGACTCACCCTCTCTACCTAATTCAGAGAGTATAAAGTACAGGTTGACGTGAGTCATGGTTTGTAGACTCCAGAAGGTGTGTTTGGGTACGCTTGGAGTTAACCAATGAAAACCAAATATCTTGTGAATGAGAGCACTGTCTTATACATTTTTCTCTGCTTGTCTGGCTAGACCCACTGTTATGGTTTTGACTTGCAGGGTCAACAGGAGCTATGTGGGAAGAATTCCTGCTCCCAGTGATTGGTTTACCTTTCTAAGTCCTGCCAGTGAGCCAGCACAGCTGGTATGTCAGCAGCAGTGCCCTGGAGTATTGTGGACCTGCCTGGCTCAGGAACTGTACTACCAAGACTGCCACAGAGAGCTGACTCGATTCTAACATTACTTTGCCAAGCTCATCACCTTGGAGCACAGCTCATCTTTTTGCACCCCCCTCTCCCCACCCCGAGGAAAGTGCTATAGCTGTTTGCTAGTGTAAATGTAGAAACTCATGTAATCTACATACCACAGTATAGGTTTGCTTCATCCTCTCCATTACTGCAGTCCACTTTGCCGTTGCAAATCTGCGTAGACATAAGGCACGTTGTGCGATCATCACACAAGAAGCCGTTTCTGTCTGAGGTGGTTTTACATTGCCGGGTTACTGCAGCAAGACATAGACAGAATAAATGCCCATTGATTTGCATGCTGAGAAGCTGTCTTGTGTGAAGCTAACTATATAAATGCATGTTGTTATCATTACAGCACCAAGAGAAACTGTGTCTTACATCACATTACATGGAGAATCATGCATTAAAGGAACTGGGTTCCCAAATACAAGGAGCAATAATTATACACAGAATAGCAGAAGCAGTGTTGAGTGCAAGGCAGCAATCAAGTCTTAAATTACATGGTCATTTGAAGAATCAAGTCTTCTAATGACATTAGAACAAAGCTCAATGGATTTTCAACTATTATTTAAACCCAAAATAAGATTCAAAATCCTAAAAAAAATTTTTGTATATAATGTGCAATTCTTGTGTAAATTTATTGCACTGTGTTTTCTTGGGCAGACACTAGTTCAATGTGCTCAGTGTAGTTGAAGCAGAACAATGCTCACACTGAGGGATTAATGATTGACATCAGATTGAGATAATTATTGTGGGATAACCAAAGGTAAATTAATGGGAAGCAACACAGTTAGAATACAACAGATCACTATTGCTCCATTATCTGAATACTGATTATATTCCCTTGGCAACATACGAGTCAGACACAGACAACACAATCCAGCCTGCACCTCAGTGGTGATAACCAGGTGGAGTTACATGAGCCCAGGTTAGTTAGGGAATCAGAACCCAGCCTCACCCATAAAAATATTGATCTTTCCTGCTCCAATTCTCTTGGGTTATACTATCCTAAAGCCATGTTATCATGCTGGAGTTCAGTTCCACAGCTACTCTGGTACATTGCATAAATAGCTGGAATTGTGAACTAACAAAATATTTTTTTATTTCACATACAAACATCTTAAGCAGCAGAGAAAATATTTAAAAAATCGAACAAGAAATTGTTAGGTAGGTAGTATAAAGTGGCCACAGAGTGGTTTTGTACTTGATTCTCTGAGGAATGGGGAGCCAGTGAAGCCAGGCAAGCATGGGGGTGATTGGTTCGCGGAGCCTTGGGAGAGGACACGAGCTGCAGTGTTTGGAATAATCCACAGCTTGCAGAGGGAAGAGTTGGGAAGTACAGTTAGCAAGCAGTTGGCGCAGTCAAGGCAGGATGTGTTGAAAGCATGGATAAAGTTCTTGGCAGCCTGCGGTGAGAGGCAATGGCGGAGGCAGGCAATGTTGCGGAGGTGGGGAAAGGCGGAACGTGTCACAACACAAATGTGGAGCTTGAAGGATAGCCGAGGGTCGAACAGGACACCGAGGTTCCATATTTGCTCAGGAATTCCTAGGAACTCAATGATCTTGATGTGACAATACATATTTTAAACTTGTTTAATACATTTATATCTTATTATTGCATACTTAGCTGTTTGGGTGGTATCCCAAATATAATCCCACAAGTTATAGCAGCTGCAATTGCCCCAAAAATGAACAGGAGGAGAATTTCGATTAAAATGCATCTTCTGGTACAGCAGCTCCTGGAGTCTAATACAAATATTAGTTATTCATCTTTTAAACACTCGAGATCTGTGCACTTTAAATATTCAGAAATCAAAATAAGGTCTGTGTGAAAGATAATTGCAACTCAAATTATACCTGTCGTTCTTAATTGCTAAATGAATGTTATATGCACAAACAAAGCATTCAGTTAATTTCACTACACAAAATTAATACTGAAAGAGGAAGTCATGCCATCAGGATCCCATTTAAAGGTCAGCTACAATGAATTATGTCTAATTGCTGCATCCTTTTAATGTGTATTTTCTTTTTTTTGTTTAGCCAAAAACATAGATGAGATAATGGGAGGAGAGTGGTTGACCTGTGTTGATGTATAGTGTGAGCTGACAACATCAGTAATCACATCCACTGGGTACGGGCACTAACCCAGGAGGCAGCAGCAAGCTTTCAACTGAGGGTTCATTAAAGAAAACATATTCATGTTATAATTATGCAGATTTTTTTCTGGACACATTGTATATTATATAGAATATATATTTATATATGGGAATAGAGGGGTATAAGTGAGGGGAATAGGAGGGGTGACAGCTTTGTTGAGTGGTAACAGGGCAGACTGGTTGGGTCTAATTTCCTGTTTTGGTATTGTATCACTCTGTGCAACTATGTATCTATATAGGTGATGTCATCTGCAGGATTGGGGTCTATTTCCATATAAACAAGGATGACATTCTGCCTCTAACATCAACTCCAGGACCACTGCTGTTCTAATAATGTTCTAATTCCGGTCAGATGTCAACAATGTGCTATTACTGATGAATTCTCACATCACAGTGATAATTCTCACATCACACTGTTAATTCTAATATTGGTGACAATTCTCAAATCTCCAATGTGTGTTAAAATAAACCAATCTTCCTCAGTTGTGAAACAATTAACAAAATATTTTCTACCTTCCTGTTTATTGTGAGTTAAAGTGACTTGTGATCCGAAAAGAGAATCGTTATCAGGATTCACCACGTCCTATAAGGGAAGATAAACAATTCAGCACGTAGAAACAATAGCTTCTCCAATTAAATTTTAAGTGGCCTACCTGCTCTATATCTCACTGTCCAGCAATCCCCAAAATAAAATTGGTCATTCGCTTCATAGCTGTTTGTGGAACATTGCAACATGCAAATTCGCTGCCATATTGTCCCACAAAACACACGATCACTACACTTTATAGTATATTCTATGAAGCACTTTGGGATCATCCTCCAGATGTAAAAAAGACATTAAACCAAAGTAAGGCTTATTATTATAAAATTTTGCCTAAAAACCTACCTCTTTGACTGTACCTAAAGTCTTCTCCCCTTCCTTCCTCCCTCCCCTTTCTACCTCGCTTGGTGTCCAATCCGGGCTCTTTGTGGAGTCTCCAAGCTATTATACATGAAGGTGCTATGTAAATGCAAATTGTTGTTTCTTGTCTCTGAGGCAGTGTCAGCAGTCTCTGGTTCATGACCTACTAGGTCCTATTTACCCATTTAGTTCCAATGAGCCAAGCTGGCTGGTCTAATTTCAGGACTACAACAGAGCCATCTGGCTCAGAAATCAGAGACGATTGAGACTGCCTCAGATAGTGGGCTTGATTCCGACAAACCATTGCCAAGAACCAGCTCAGCTCCAAGGAGGCCCCACTAATAATAATAATCTTATTATTCCCACTTAGGAAGATAGTCACCAGTCACTGAAGTTAATTTCTAGAATCTGGTAATACTCCAAAAATTCTAACGATAATAGTTTGTTACGTACATAAATTCTAATAAAAAATTTGCAAAAACACTGAATGAGAAATTACTTTATCCTTCACAAAAAATTGCAATTCTAAAACATTATGTAAATACATTGAACTGAAGGTACTTTACCTTGGGTCTTGATGGATAGACTCTACTTGAACTCATTTCTCATGAATACGAATAGAGATGATCAGAAGTGTGGGAACAGATAACTGATGAGAAAATATAACACAAAATTCTTGATGAAAGTACTTCAGATGTGGGGAAGTTGGTGAGTTACTTGGTGACCTGCGACTCCAGCTGATTCCTTTGGAAAAATGTTGCTTTCATTCATCACCCAGCAACGAAGAAACTCAACAGATCACTTACCTGTACATTGTGATTAAAGACAAACACTGCCCCTCCTCCAGGAAGCTGAGGGTTAAACATTTCCAAATGATGTTTCTGCAATATATACATCTCTAACCTGAGATGTAGTACTGAGCAGTAACTTGCATTTAATGATATTAATACTGAGGAGCTATTGCAAGGATAAGCATCCTTTTTCAGTCGAATGCCAAAAAGTCCAGAATTTTTTTTAAAAAACAGATCAGGTACTGTTTTTTTTACATATTCAAGCAGTTTAGTCGCTATATCACCTGCAAGGATTATTTTGGAGATAACATATGATTTTTATTAATATAAACAATCATAAACAGAGATGTGTGGGGAAGGAAGCTTGCCTAAGGTTTCTCCCCGCTTGGGAATCAAACCCAAGTGTTCTAACCACAATGCTACAGGACTCAAGTTAGTGAAATGGGAACATTTACTCTCTCCCTGGAGTAAGGAAGAGAAAGAAAGGTGCATAGCTCTCACATGGTATTATCCTCTAAAATAGCCGAGATTGGGAATTAAGGGTGCAGTCACCATGACCCAATTAAACCTTGGCCCTTATAATAGTGATATGTTAATAAATTGAGAACTCCAGGTGTTAATACACTTTATTTTAGCAACAAATCCATTTGACTAGGTTTCCTTCACTTATTACAGTAAAATAAATAATCAGTCTCAGATGTTACATTTTTCATTTCAATCCATAATGAACAATGCACAAACTTTTTTTTAAACATAGAGTTAAACTCATAAACTTAAATGCAGAACCTTGCTATTTGTGCATTAGGTTATTACAGCACATTACCACAAACCTAAGAACAAAGATTTTCAAGTAATGCTTCAATATCTCCCACCATTTTATCCCCCGCCCCACCCCCAAGATAATCTTGCAAGGCCTGAGGGATATGTTTAATTTTACAGACCATTTTTAATATAAAATAATATTCCTTAAAAGCATATTACAGACAATATCCTGTAGTTTCCTCACAAAATACTCTAAAACGACACTTATTAACAGTGAAACAATACAAAAAGTTCTTTCTAGTCCATACACTTTTTATATGGCTATCAAGGACAACAACAACTTGCATTTATATAGAGCCCTTCACGCTGGGCGGTGTCCCAGAGCGCTTAACAATGGTGGAGCCCGATGCTGAGCCAGGGGGAGGGGGAAGGTGACCATAGGCACAGTTGAAGAGGAAAGTCTTCAGGTGCAACATGAAAATGGGGAAACAGAGGGCAAGGTGAGGGGATTGAGGGAGGGGGTTCCATAGCTTCAGAGCGTAGTGGCTAAAGGCACGGCCGCCGATGGTGAACAGCTGCATCAGGGTTGCAAGGCCAAAGGGAAAAGAGGTCTGTGGATGAGAGGGTATTTGTGAGGGTCTTGGGAGGAAGCCTTTTCCATAGGTGGAAAAGGATGGCGGAGGGATTGATGGAGGGGAGAGGGCTGCGAGAGAAGAGGGAGACGAGGAAATGGTCTGAGATGGCCTTGTCCGTGATGGATAGACGGGAGACATATAAGCCGTGGGTGATAACGAGGACAGCTTGGATCAACCACAAAATGAAATATTAAACAGTGAGGGAAATAGAATATTCCAAAATTATTTCAGACCTGGTGCAGAATGCCGTTGCTGTTTAAAATGTGGCAGAGTCCATCTCCAGGAATTTTTGAAACACCCTTGTATCAATGATGCAGTTGTTCCCAGTCTGATATTCACTTGTGCTTTGCTCTGAATTTAAGGCAGAGGTAAACGACTCACTCAAGCTGGCAGATAGGTAGATGTAGCTGCTCCTACATCAAAGGCAGCTACTCTAGAAGAGTAATAATTTGCTTCCGAAAGGCACCCCAAATAGTAATGTGGCTAAGCACTGACCAAAGAAAACATATCATTCACCTGGCATGGATTAAAGCATCAGCCATTGCTGGGACTGGTTCATGCTTAAACTAAAGTTTAACCAACTAAAACTGGATAGCTTGCCATTGAGAGCACTGTCTGCTGAGTAAAAGTCTCCAAGCTACAAGAATCACCAGGAGTTAGTAAAACATGTTCATTTATATACAGTATACACCACATCTGCAGTGCTCTCTCTGAAGTATTTTTAATGCTACATTATTGGCACACTGGATAGGAAAAAAATTAAACTGCTTTCCAGCAAGTATGTTAGATCACAATGTTGTGGATCGTGGATTGAAAAAGTGTGTCCAACTAATTTTCTGTTCAATGACTTTCAATGTTGGTGAAAGATTTTCTGGAATCATTCTAAAATGACCAATTATCAGAAGTATTAACAGTGGGATTTTATTTCAGATATTATTCATTTAGATAAACTTACACAAACTGTTCATCAACACTGTACAGTCCTTTGTAGCTTTATTGCCTGTCTCTAATAATCAAAGCTTTTTCATCTTACAGGTAAGGTGACAATTTGGAAAACAGGTAAAATTCTAATCAAGTTCATGCCTAAACTAAAGTTTAACCAGCTAAAATTGCATAGCTTGCCATTGAGAGCACTGTCTGCTGAGTAAAAGTCTCCAAACAAGAATCCACTTGGACTTAGTAAAACTCCTCCATTTATGTACAGTATACAGATCCCACTCCAATAAGAAGTACTGCAAGGAACTCCTCTACTATCCGTTATCCCTTCTTTACTCCTAGCAAATATTGCTGTTAATTAATACGGTTCAATACCTCAAGAAATAAGATACAATCACTGCATCTAATAAAACTGAATGGTCCATTTCAATAATGATGGTATAAAACACCATCCAATAAGTTGTACCATGAAGCAAGTCTTCAGCCATCTACAGAAATGTTCTTTTGTTGCCATCCCATGCAAATCCACACAAAGCGTAGAGCACTCTCTGAGATGACAGATAATGTATGAAAGAATTCAAGTCATTTACTTTTCCATGACGCAGATATCAGGATCAGTCATTCACTCCTTAATATTCAACAACAACTTCAGTAAATGGGCCTCAATAACCTGCTGAACTAAAAAAGAAAATTCTGAATTAGATTTCCTATTTAAAAAAAAGGGTTAGTTTGGTAATCAAAGTGTAATCAATGAACAAAGGCAAACAATTTTTGTTGGTCAGCCAGGAGCCTGGTGCATACAGAAACCCACCCCTAAACTTTTCAAAAGTAATGACAGTTACCAAAATAATAATAATCATTGCATTTGATACAGCATCTTATCACAATAGAATACATTAGAATATACTGCACAGAAACAGGCCATTTGGCCCAGTCATGCTGCACATGAGCCTCCTCTTGCCCTAAGTCTTCAAGCATAACCTTATTTTCCTTTCTCCCTCATATACCTTAAATACATCTATGCTATTTGCCTCAACAACTCCTTGTGGTAGCATGTTCCACATTCCCAATACTCTGTGTGAAGAAATTTCTTTTAACTTCCCTATTTGATCTATTTGTCACTACTTTATATTGATGGCCCCTGGTTTTGGTCTCCCCACAAGTGGAAACATCTTCCCTATGTCTACCCTATCAAAACCTTTCATCATTTTAAAGACCTCTATCAGGTCAACCTTTACCCTCCTCTTTTCAAGAGAAAAGAGTCCAAACATGTTCAGCCTTTCAGGTATATCATGTCGTTGATACGTCTTAAAATGCTGTGTGTTTCATATGTGCATGCAACCTATGCATGAAAATCTCCCTGTCTGAAATGGAATGTGCACTTTCTCCCTAGATGGACGCACTCTGCTTTCCTAATTCTGGAAAGTATTAGTTACAGGTTGGTAAGAGCTAAGGCTTGGAGACCCCAGATTGTGGTTGAGGTACTGCTATAGTTTAACTAGCTAAAACTGCATAGCTTCCAATTGAAAGCACTGTCTGACAAGCTTCCTACTGCTTTTCCAGTGAGCAACATGCTATCCATTAGGCTTGCAGGATTAACAGGAGCTGAGTGGGAGGAATCCCTGTTCCCAGTGACAAGCCCGTCCCCCAAGTCCTGTTGATGAGCCAGGCTGGCTGGTCTGGAGTTCTGAGGACCTGCCTTTGCACAGAAACTGGGCCACTAAGATGTCAGAGGGTTGACTCAATTCCACCATTCTGTTGCCAAGCTGCTCAGCTCCAAGCAAACCCCACTTTCCTCCTTCCCCAAGTGGACAGTTACTGGTTGGTCATTTAATATCAGACAAGCACAGTTTTGAGCCCTCATTAGGTGAGCTCTCCAACAGGAGCGCTCTGAGACACTACCCTGCATGGAGGGCGCTATATAAGTGCAAGTTGTTGTTGTGAATAGCAGATACTCCCTGTGAGTTTACTATATACTACATGACAATAAATAGATGCAAAACAGCACAGCAAATTTAACAAATAATTAAAAATATTACATGATTGAAGTTTTATTTTGAGTATATTCCATTTAGAAAAAATAATTTTCATGCTCTTAGGCAAGTTGAATTCAACACTTACCATTTTTAAAACCTAAGTTTACAGCCATATCCATCGCATTGAATCCTGAATCGGTTTCAGCAGTTGGGTCAGCACCATATTCTGCAGAAACAGGAGCAATAAACTATAGAATCATTAGGTAGTTTTATTCCTAATGAATTATCAGCACATTTTCAGAGAGTGTGTGTGTGTGTGTGTGTGTGTGTGTGTGTGAGGTGGGGAAGAGTGAGAGTAGATGTGGAGGAAAGGACAGATATAGATGGAGATTATAATGAAGTAAGATTCAGAAGGGTTCAATTTCCATCATAAAGTACTAGACCTAAGATTTGGAATTCTTTTTCAATTACCTGAGACCTAATGTTTCTCATGGACTTATCCTTAAGACCACTGTTTTAAAATGTAAGCTTGTGAACGATTTTGCAGAATTCTTCAATTCAATTTTATAGTGGAGCCCAATTATAATGTGGTGGGCTCACATGCAGAAACCCATCACTATACTTAAGAGTATCCAAAGCAAACTGAGAGTTCTATGCATCCCATCTACACATACAATACAAAATTACATTTGTAAAGCACATTTCATGTTGGGTGGACGGCCCACGTTGCTGGAAATTCCAAGGATGTTGATTGGAATGGAATGTGCACTCACTTCCAGGACAGTGACAGGCAAAAGTTGGTGTCCACTACAACTCTGGACTGAGGTCTCAGTACTTCTTAAGAGTGTCAATGTCAACAACAAATTACATTTGTAAAGCGCCTTTCATGTCAGGAGGATGTCCCAAGGCACTGGACAGTCAAGGATCTGCACACGAGTTGGTGATTGGGATCAAGAGGGGTGGAGGGTGGGGTGGGTAGGGATAGTAGGGCGACAGAAGGCACGGTCTTAGAGGAGGGTCTTGAGACGGGTCTTGAAGCAGGCAAGGGAGGGGGCAGACGATGGGACTGTGGGTGGAGGTGAGGATGGAGGCAGAGAGGTAATGTTGGGTATCAACTGCATACATGCGGAAGTTGACCCCATGTCTGCGGATGATGTCACCAAGAGGGAGCATGTAAATGTTGAAAAGCAGAGGGCCAAGGACAGAGCCCTGAGGGATGGCACACGTGACGGTGCAGGGGCTGGAGGAGAAGCGATTAGTGGGGACAAAGTGGAATCAATGATCAGATCTCTCACCTTTGACCCATTTGTAGACATGAGCCACTCAAGAAGAGCCTCAATATAGTTGGAATCCACAAAATCCTCACCTATAATGAGGCACGACAGGTGGTTTCACAGTGCATGCATACAGCTGGCCTGGAAGTTAGTTTTTTAATTAAGTGTGGGGAAGTAAAATGGCTGCCTTCCAGGACATCAGATCTTTGTTGATATCACTAACTGTGCGCTGGGTGCGTGTGGTGCAGTTGGTGCGTGTGGTGTGCAGGAAGTGATTGTGGTAACAATCTAATGACCGAGAAATCAGCTATTTTAACATGAGAGCCGGTCAGCACATTAAAAATATTTTATATTTATCTGGTATTATTTTTCTTTAATCTCTGCTCATGTCCTTCTGTCCTGCTTCACCAATTACATGCTACCTCATAGGTAGGGCTGCAGGTTTGGCATGGCATTGCTTGTCAAAAAACATGGAGCAGTTACAGTAAATTTAGTGAACGTCACTGGTTTACGAGGAAATGTTGGGAGAAGTCATCGGTATGGAAATTCAACTTTCCCTCTTCATCCTCCCAATTTCCAATGTCTAAATCGGAATGTGAAAAACCTTTATCTTAGAGTGCGGAAAGCAGCTGGGCTGTATGCAAGTGTCCGTGAGAACAGTTTGAATTTCCCACATTAACCTTGAGAGAGGCTGTCGCATGGCCTAACACAGCCCAGCCACTTCCCTGCTCAATTGAAGTAGGGAAGCAGCTGGGCTGTGTGAGCGCTTGTGCCAACCTCGCAAAAACAGTTTGAATTTCCTGCAATAATGTTGAGACAGGCCACCACTCGCTCAAGGTTAATTCGGGAAATATATGGTTTTGTCACGGACATTATCCGTAACATTTTTTCTGGCATGCCAAATCTGCAGTCCTCATAGTGTCTACAAAATAGCCATTACATCTTAAAATAATATTAACTGAGACATTTCCAATATAAGTTGCTATATGAGATGCATGTATTACAATCATTGTATTAGCTCACCCAGCAGGGTCTCCACACACTTTACATGATTCCCATGTACACCATACAGCAAAGGGGTCCCTCCATTCTGTAAGGAAAAGAAAGTAGCCATAGATATTCTAAATATGATAGAGAATATTAAATACACCTGGAGTATTGGAGGAAGGTCTAAAATGGATTGTTTCTAACAGATTCCTTAAATAAGAAATCCGAGTTGCGCAAATAGGAACTCCTTCCGGTCAGTGGAAGTACAGTATATCACACTGACCTGCACAACTCTGCTGCAAAGTGATGTGCCTCCAAGCAGAGTTCCTGTAGGGCGAAGGGAAAGGGAAGGAAAATCTAATACAATTCCTTACTAAGGAAATATCAAAAATGAGATCCTGATATTACTTACCCAGTCATACTCATTTACATCACATCCATGGTTGAGTAGCATTTTGACAATGTCTGCATAACCCTTACTGCTGGCCAGTGACAGTGCACTCTCTCTTCCATTTGCTAAAAGATGCGGATCACCTCCCTTTCAAAAGAACACAAATCTGCAGGTTCATTTCTAAGATACCAACAAGAGAAACTTGAACTGGTTTATAAATCAAGGCAAAACCACAAAATGTAACCATTCCACAATATAGAAAGGAATGACAAGAAAATAGCAAGTTGATGTTCGGCAAGAAGGGAATCCCTCTAATAATAAATTCCCTCTACATACCGATTATGCAGGGTATATTTTGTTCAATATTGTTTTTACACAAGTCTCAGGCTCCTCCCTATCCCCATTAAGCAATTATGTTTTAACCCACCCACAATTAGTGGGGAAAAAAGGCATTTAACCAAACATACTCTGTAATTAGAATACTATGAAGTAAATGCAAGTCATCCTGTTGTATCATTTTGACTGAAACGGATATGTGCAACTTTCCACTGGGAAGTTATGATATATCAGTAAACATTTCTAAATTTATAATAATCCTTGCATTTGATATAGCACCTTATCATGTCATTGAGATGTCATAAAGCCCTTCACAGAATATACTGTAAAGTGGACTGAATGTATTTTGTGGGCAAAATGCAGCAGCCAATTGCATACAGCAATTAATGTGACTCAAATTGATGTCACTCATTCCACACAAAGAATTCACACCACCAATGAAAAAGAATAGTGATGGACGGGTGGAATTGTTGGATCAGTGGTCTTGCAAGGTTAGTTTCATTGCATTTAAGTGCGTACAGAGCAGAGTGAAAGGTGGTTTCAAAGCAAGAGGCTGCTCTAGCAGACATTCATTGGATTAGTAATGAGCAGGTCAACTACCTACCCTCTCAAGTTTTCACACAGAATACTTAGGATATGGAATAACCTGCCTGGAGCAGTGTTTGAGGCAGAATCCAATTTAGCTTTCCAAAGAGAACCAGATAGATATCTCAAAAGGAGTGAACTACAAGGGTATGGGGGGAAAGGCAGGTGAATGGGCCTGTAAGAATTGCTCTTTTCAAAAGTCAGCACAGACCAAAGGCCAAATGGCCTTCTTCTGTGCTATACATTTCTATAGTTCTTTGGTTCTGGTAGAGATTGATGCACAATGCACAAAAACCATAAAGAAAATCAAGACTTTTTAATGTTTATATATTAAAAAAAGTACTTCTTTGGAAGCCAGCCGTCCAGACAGACACCAATACCTGGTAGCGCCGAGCATGATCCACAATATTTTACTTTCAGAACAATAGCATATTTATTCTAATGTAATATTGTAGAGTGTTTACCCTGGACCAAAACTTTCAGGTTCAAACAACCTTGAGCTGAGGAAAATAACTAAGGTAATATTCTGTTCCCCCAACATCAACACAGAATCCGCAGGTTTAGTCACAGTTGTCACATTAGTTCTCATTTGTCGCCTCCATTTCATAGAGCTTCTGAACAGGTCACTGTCATACGACTTCAATGTAAGAAAATTTAGAAGCTTAATACATCTCCACTGTCTATTGTACCCATTTCAAATAGAGAAACTGTGTGAAACTTCTTCAATTTGCTTGTTTCTTTCATTTACTCAGTTCCAGTCATTTGATACTGAAGGAATTAATTCAATTAAATAGTTAAGAGCATAAAGTTCATAAACCTTACATTCTGTAGCAGAAACTCCACCACTGCAATCTGTCCATGAGCTGCTGCCCACATCAGTGGAGTAAAGCCTTGCTCATCTTGCATATTTATCAGATTATCTAGAAATGTAATAAAACAGAGATCACTCAGATCTAAGACTAGGTAATAGTTCTCCTCGATTCCCGTGGAGTTCAACAATTTCTGCACCTTATTTCAATAAATGTACTCTGCAGCAAGTCACACATTAACATTACTACTGGATTCCTAATTAGAAGGTGTCAGAATAACAGCGCTTTAAACTTCAGTTAACAACTCACCTTGTTCTATACGGCTTGCCAAAAAAAGCAGCTCTCCTTGCGCTGCCAACTGATGTACAGAGAGTGCTGTGAAACACAGATAACAGTAACAAGTGTAAATTACTCAACCAAGCAGGAGATAGTTCAGGAACAGAACAAGTTGTGGAGTCCTGTAGCTCAGTGGTTAGAGCACTCGCTTTGCAAGCGAGAGACCCGAGTTCAATTCCAGGCAGGGCGAAACCTTGGGCAAGTTTCCTTACTCCACACACCTAATAATAATCCCTCCAAAAACCAAAAACAATAATAAATTGGTCATTTTCAATCTATGACTGTTTGTGGGACATTGCTGTGCGCAATTGACTGCCGCGTTCGCCCACAAATATACAGTCAATTCACTTTACAGTGTGTTCTGTGAAGCGCTTTGGGACGTCCTCCCGACGTGAAAAGCGCTATATCAAAATGCAAGGATTATTATTATTAAATACATTACCACAAAGGGGAAAGGTAGGGGATCCAAACCTCCTTGGATGACTAAGGAAATTGGGATTAAAATACAACAGAAAAAGGAGGCTTATGATAAATGTCAGGTCTAAAATACAGAAGGTAATCAAATAGAATATAGAAAGTACAGAGGAGAACTGAAAAAGCAAATAAGAGAGGCAAAGAGATTGCATGAGAAAAATTAGTGGGTAACATAAAAGGGAACCCTAAGGTATTTTATAAGCATATAAAGAATAAAAGGTTAGTCAAAGGTAGAGAGGGGCCAATTAGTGACCAAAGAGGAAATCTTCGTGTGAATGCAGAGGGCATGGCTGAATGAGTACTTTGCATCTGTCTTCACAAAAGAAGCCAGTGCCACAGTATCAAAAGAGAGGGCAGAGAAATTGGATAGGATAAGAATAAACAGAAAGGAGATACTAAAAGGTTGATGCTGCTCAAGATAGATAAGTCACCCGGTCCAGACAAGATGCATCCTAGGTTATTGAGGGAAGTAAGGATGGAAACAGTGGAGGCTCTGGCCACAATCTTGGTAGTGCCAGAGGACTGGAGGGTTGCAAATATTACTCTCCTGTACAGAAAGGGGCAGAAGGATAATCCCGGGAACTACAGCCTAATGTCAGCAGTGGGGAAACTTCCAGAGACTATAATCCGGGACAAAAATTAATTTTCACTTAGAAAAATATGGGTTAATAAACAACAGCCAACTTAGATTCATTAAAGGCAAATCATGTCTTACAAACCTGCTAAGAGTTTTTTTGATGAAGTAACGGAAAGGGTGGTTGAAGATAGTACAGTTGATGTAGTTTATATGGATTTTCAAAAGGCGTTTGATAAAGTGCCACATAAGTGACTTGTAAGCAAAATAGAAGCCTAGGGTATTAAAGGACAGCATGGATACAGAACAACAAGATTTCATTTATAGAGCGTCTTTCATGTCGGGAGGACGTCCCAAGGCGCTAGACAGTTGGGTCGGGAAACAGAAAGCAGAGAGTGGCAGTGAACGGTTGTTTTTAATGACTGGAGGGAAGTATGCAGTGGTGTCCCCCAGGGGTCGGTATTGGGAACCTTGCTCCCTTTGATCTATATAAATGACCTGGACTTGGGTACAGGGAGTGCAATTTCCAAGTTTGCAGGTGATACTAAGCTAAGAAGAGTAGTAAACGGTGAGGAAGATAGTAGCAGACTGCAAAAGGACATACACAGACTGGTAAAGTGGGCAGACATGTGGCAGATGAAGTTTAATGTGGAGAAATGCGAAGTGATGCATTTTGGGAGGAAGAATGAGCAGAGGCAATATAAGCTGATGGTACAATCTTAAAGGGGGTAAAGGAACAGAGAGACCTGGGGGTTGTATAAGTAAATATTTGAAGGTGGCAGGACTGGTAGATAAAGCTGTTTAAATAAAGCATACGGGATACTAGGCTTCATAAATAGGGGCATAGAATACAAAAGTCAGGAAGTTATGATGAACTTTTATAAAACACCGGTTAGGCCTCAGCGAGAGTACTGGGTTCAGTTCTGGGCACCACCACCGCGCTTTAGGAGGGATGTCAAGGCATTGGAGAGGATGCAAAGGGGATTTACTAGGATGGTACCAGGAATGAGGGACTTCAGTTATGAGGAGAGGATAGAGAAGCGAGGATTATTCTCCTATGAGCTGAGAAGGTTAAGAGGAGACTTAACAGAAGTTTTCAAAATTATGGGGGGGATTCGATAGGGTGAACAAGGAGAAACTATTTCCAATGGCGGGTGGGTTGGTAACCCGAGGACACAGACTTAAAATAGTTGTTAAGAGACAGAGGGGAGGTGAGGAGACATTTTTTCACACAGCGAGTTGTTCGGATCTGGAATGCATTGCCTGAAAGGGTGGTGGAAGCCAATTTGATAACAACTTTTAAGAGAGAAGCAGATAATTATTTGGGGGGGACAAGTTTGCAAGGGTATTGGGAGAACATGGGGGAGTGGGATTGATTTGGATAGCTCTTTTCAAAGAAAAGTATAATTCTGTGCTGTATAATTCTATGATTCTAATGTAACTTATTCTATGCCGTGATAATGCAGTGCTGAATGCAAGAAAACATTATCTTAAGAACAGGTCTTTCTTTAGTAGGATGATGATGATACCAGTTCGGATACTATACTACTGTAACTAGTGGCTCTCTCTTCTCCCTCCTAAAAGTTATTTAATTCACCTCTACATTTCTCTCCTATCCCAGCTGAAACCCTTATTCACACCTTTGTCACGTCCCGGCTGGACTATTCCAATGCCCCCCTCGCTCGTGTGCACCCCTGCTCCACCATACACAAAATACAATTAATCCCAAACACTGCCGCCCAGGTACTCACCTGCACAAAATTTCATACCCCAATCATACCAGTGCTTGCCAGCCTCCACTGGCTCCCAATTACCGAATGGGTCAATTTTAAGATCCTCTCACTCCTTTTCAAATCCCTTCATGCCTACACACCTCCCTAACTATCCAATCTGCTTACCCCCTACTCCACCACCCACTACCTCTGCTCGGTGAGCTCCGGCCTCCTGTTAGTTCCTAGTCTCCTCCACCATCGGTGGCTGCAGCTTCAGCTACTATGCCCCGAAACGGTGGAACTCTCTCCCTCAATCTCTCCGACTTGATCCCACCCACCCCACTTTCAAATCCCACCTAAAGACCTTCCTTTTCGATCATGCTTATAACAGCAACAACTTGCATTTATAGAGTGCCCTTTTTCCAGTGTAGCGTCCCAGAGCACTTTGATCACATGGAGACAAATTACTATTCAATCACGCAATGGCACGACAATAAATTAGATTCAGCATCTCACTGATGAGCACTGAGACATGCTCTAATCCAATAGATTCTTCATTCTACAAATGAACAGTCACCAATGTTGATCTGTAAAGTGAACACTAGTTATACTGATTGCACTACATTCTGGCTCTTTATAAGACAACATTAGCCAAGAACATTTCACTACAAAATAATGCTTGAAATAATAAAATGAAAATAATAATCCTTGTATTTGACATAGTGCTGGAGGATATCTCAAAGCATTGAACATGATTTACTGTAAAGTGTAGTGACTGTGTATTTTGTAGGCAAAACGCCAGCCAATTTGCACACAGAAATGTCCCACAAACAGCCATGAAATGAATGACAAATTTTATCTGTGGGATTATTTGCTAGGATATCAGAAGAAAACTCCCTTCTCTTTTCAAGTAGTGCCATGGGATCTTCAATTTCAACCTAAACAGGCAGACCAGACAGAGCTCGGTTTAACATCTCATCCGAAGGATGAAAAAATAAAATATTGTTCAATAATGTAAACCTCAATCAGTTTATTTTATGCAGCATGAAAATTATCTACCAAAGTGCTGAGTGGCAGGAAACAGATTAATGTCACCTTACTTCATAGGATGAGTTCTATCTCCAGGCTGTTCTGTGAAGGATAGTGGCCAATAGAGGGCAGTGGTTTCTCCAGAAAAGTGGGGGAGTGGATGAGAGAAAGGAAGGGCAGGTCAGCACAGTGCATTAGTGTGTACATGTTGGCAGCTGACTCAATGGCACTGGCACTAACTTATGTACCTCCACTCCCGCCAGGAGACTGGTATGTGGCCAAGAAAGACCTTATAGTGAGGAAGAATTTTAAAAAATAGAAACTTAAAACATGTAGAAGAATGTCTTCCTTCTCGTCAGAAACAATTTAGCATATATAACTATCTAGTCTTCATTTAGTCAAGCAATAAACAATCTCCATTATTTTCAGTTTTCTGGGTCCATTGAATACATCCTGTACCAGATGATATCAGACTTACAGTGCAAGAGTAAAGGTGTTGCTGAGACCTCATTTCCACGATGCTTATTGGTTAGAGTGGTTGACTGCTTAACAGGTGAGAAATGTTTGGTTATAGATGGCGTGTAGACGTGTCTAACTTGAATTCCAGGAGAAGGAGACGTGTGGATGTTGCACTCAGCTGTAATCAACAGAATATTTCTACATGACATATGACATTTATACATACAGTATTTCAGAAGCCAATCACTATACTGCACAGGGTATGAGTTGACAGGCAAAGAGTGACAAAGCAGCAATTCAATTGAATGGTTCAGTACTTAAAAACCATATGATTGAAGCTTAAATATTTTATGAGCAGAAATACTTTAAAATTAAATTGTTGCCTGATATACAAATTAAGTTTATTTTTATACTTACCTTACCAATAAAAGAACAAGACAGCATCAGTAAAATATAGATGATTGTCATAGGTGAAAGATTAATAAGGACAGTCTAGAATTTGAAGGTACATAACATTGTATAATTATCACCAAAACATTCTATACACAGCAAGAACAAGAAAATAATTAAATTGATTGCAATTGGATAATAGATATGTATTATTAAGGAAATTGCTGGCAGTATTTAGCATATAAAATGCACATATATTACTTACCTTTGAATAATACAGAAGCCACTTCTAGGTCAGAGTTTACCTGATCCTGAATGTTTTTACTGTCCTCTTCATTCAGCGACTTTACAAATCGAGAGCACACGTTCATATCAAACCTATTGGGCAGGACAAATTTCATTCCCATGGCAACATTCTGAGAGGAACCATCTTCTTCATTTAGGTCAGTACGTGGTTCTACTTTGATGTAAGGAATTCCAGAAAAGGAAGAATTGTTGTCATTCGGATCTCCAGTTGACTGAATTTCAAAGTTTGGATTTTCAACTGAGGCCATCATTGCTCCACTCACTTAGTGCAATCTGCTACTCCATCCATTGGTACAGTAATGAATTACAGCAGGTAGATCAAGTCAGCCACTTTTGAATACACAAAATTAAGCCTGGAAATATACACATAAATATAACTATCATAAGTCATAATCCCTATCATAATAATAATCCCTCCAAAAAACCCAAAACAATAATTAAATTGGTCATTTTCAATCTACGACTGTTTGTGGGACATTGCTGTGCGCAATTGGCTGCCGCGTTCGCCCACAAATATACAGTCAATTCACTTTACAGTGTGTTCTGTGAAGCGCTTTGGGACGTCCTCTTGACGTGAAAAGCGCTATATCAAATGCAAGGATTATTATTATTATTATTATATAAGCCAATTATGTACCTTCTTATACATGGCCAATTTTTATGATGAAGTTATTTGATGGATTATGGTTTATATGTATTCATTGTTTATATGCATTCCTATTTTTTCAACAGGATAAAAAGAATCGAACACATTCAGGAAAGGGAATGAGAAAATTGTATATTAAGTGAACTGTAATACACGATTCTGGATAATCCAGTAATGCGCCAGCTTCCCCAGCTCCACCATCACCCAAACCTGATGTCCTCATCCTTTTACCGACATTAAACCTTACATGCCAACCATCACTGTTCTCTCCAGACTTCACATCTCCCAACAGATTGTTTTCTAGATCCTCATCTACAAATACCTTCACTTTTGCATAGCTTTACACTTCCCTACTCTTGTGATGTTGTCCAATCTCAATCTTTTTAATAATACTTTCAGTCACAAATACACATACATGCATTCTGTGCAGCTATTATTGTCTAATAATACCCTCTGAAAATTTCGCCTGTTGTGCATTCCTCATCCACTCCGACTCACCATCAATGGCTGATGATACCCCACCCCTTATTGGTCTTCAAAAGCAGCACAATAATCTACCTCTTTGACCGCTCTGGTCACCTTTCTTGGGGTCAGTGCATCATTTCTATAAAGCATACCGAGAAGTTACTTGGCATAAAGAGAGCTACATAAATGCAACTTGTTGTAATGCAATGCACAATATCATCTATTCACCACTGTTTGTGGGAACCTGCTGTGCGCACTTGGCTGTTGAGTTTCGCCCACAAAATATACAATCAATTCACCTTACAGTATATTCTATGAAGCGTTTTGAGACATCTCAAAGACGTGATAAGGTGCTATATCAAATGCAATTATTATTATCATCTAGTAAACACAGATTGTGGCAATTCTGAATTTGCTTAGAACAGAACAACAAATTGCATTTATATAGTGTCTTTCATGTCGGGAGGATGTCTGTAATACAGTACTCTTCATTCCCATCACTTAACACAAACCAGCACATGTCACCACACTTATTATTTTCTAAAGCATTTAATATCAAAATGTCTGGAGAGAGTCACCATCATTAAGAATGGTAGATTGCAGATATATTTAATTATTTGGGGATATATTTAAGTATGCAGAGCTATGGGGAGAGCGCGGGGGAGTGGGATTGATTTGGAGAGCTCTTTTCAAAGAGCCGGCACGGACACGATGGGGCGAATGGCCTCCTTCTGTGCTGTATAATTCTATGACTTTATGATTTCCATATGGTAGGTCCTTATTTTTTTCCAGTAGGCTGCATGCAAATAAGCTGTGCTTTCAAAAGCAAAACGAATAGCATTTGTCACGTCGCGTTTTTGAAATGTTTCCATAACACACAGACAGTGCAAACACTCGTGTTGTCAATGCAGAATTGTGGAGTCCTGTAGCTCAGTGGTTAGAGCACTCGCTTTGCAAGTGAGAGACCTGAGTTCAATTCCAGGCACAGGGCGAAACCTTGGGCAAGTTTCCTTACTCCACACAGAGCCTAATAATAATCCCTCCAAAACCAAAAACAATAATAAATTGGTCATTTTCAATCCACGACTGTTTGTGGGACATTGCTGTGCGCAATTGGCTGCCGCGTTCGCCCACAAATATACAGTCAGTTCACTTTACAGTATATTCTGCGAAGCGCTTTGGGACGTCCTCCCGACGTGAAAAGCGCTATATCAAATGCAAGGATTATTATTATTATTAACAGCAAATGCATTTCAGGAGTGGCAATTTACACTCAAAAGTGGGGTAGAGTGAAAGCCCATTTAAACAGGTTGGGCCACAGAATCGAAGGCACGAACATAGATCCTATTTTGTTCAACCAAAACAGTGCTTTGGTGGCGCATTCACCAAAACCCGTTACCCAAGACCAGGTCAGGAGTCCCGGACTTGTCAGCCTGGACCAGAAATATTCATTTGACATATTTTTGGTTGAATGATCAAAAAAAAAACGGAAATACCCTCTCTGATGAGCTTTGTCCTCGATAACAAACACGGGGCTGTGAGTCTTATCGCCGGTACTCGGCGCGGGTTAAACCTCTCTCCTTTGGCTGCCAATGGAGACGGCTTCGCAATGGTGACCGGCGCTGCTCTGCCGGACCTTCGCGGCGAAGCCCAGTGTCTACACACAAGCGTTACCGCAGGTAAACATTCCCACCTTCAGCGCTTCTCCTCAGACCGCCCGCCCGCCCGCCCCCGGAAACGCCACCCGCGCGTTCGCCAATGACGAACAGCTCGTCCAAATAACGGCGCCGCTCGCTCACAGACACGGTCGGTTCACTCGGTGCCCCGCGGTCCGGAACGGCGGCCGTAACCGAGAGAAACCTGTCCCGGCCGCTGCGACACCCCCGGCGTGACGATGGCGGCCGGGGACGAGGCGCGGCTCAGGATCGACGTGACGTAGCGCTGGCTCCGGCCGCCATGTTTGTGCGGGGCATTTTCAGAACGTCCCTTCCACTCGCTCTGCCGTGTTATCCTCTCACAAACACCTGCGGGATTTTAATATATATATATACACACACACACACAGAGACTGTATAGGTATAGATGGGGGTATAGCTCGGGTATTTGTGTAAAGTAAACCACTCGGTGTCTTGCAGCGTCGCGCACTGCGGGCCGCTGGGACAAGTAAAGTTGGGTTGAGCAGAAGCGGAAGTGACGCCGCGCGTGGTCGGCAATGGCGGCGGCCGCGTGAGCTCGCGCTGATCTGACGGTTGGGTTTTGAAGAGAGCCGCTCGCGCCGCCGGGGAAGACGCTGAGCAGGTGAGTGGCGGTCCCGCCGCTCCCCAAGAGCCCGGGGCCACCTGGTGCCGCTTGTGCTGAGCTGACTGGTGGTGTGGATGCCGCTCGCCTCGAGCCTCCCCCACAGAGCGGCCTGGCCCTGGCGCATGTAACCAGGTTACACACATGCTGCGGCTCTGCCCACGCTGTAGCGATCCTCGCCGCTAACTGCAGCTTAAAGAGCGGCCCCAGCTTTCCTCTCATCCCCCCCCAACCCCCCACCGGGCCTCGGGCAAAAAAATACCCCAACACAGAGCAGCCAGCGGCGGTCTTCAACCCCCAGTCAGCCCCCGAGGCCCTGGGCTGGGGCGGCAGACAAGCCCAGCCCGGTGTCCTGCCCCTCTCACTGTCAGGGCACCCTCCCTCCCTCCCTCCCTCCCTGTCCCGTCCCGAGGGTCTGGACGCCGACCCCGGCCTGTGCAGGACTGCCCGAGTCCCAGGCAGGGCAGGACCGGCCTCTTTTGAGCAGGTTATGTTGGCGGATGTGTGGACCATTAGGAGGAGAACGGAGTTGAACACTTTCAGGAGAGTGGAAAATGTGGGATTGTGTGTGGTGTGTGTGTGTGTGTCGTGTCGGGGTGGGGGGTGTGTGGGGGGGAATAATTGTCTTGTCCTTAATATTTTTTTCTCCTGAAAGGGAACAATGTTCCATGTGAGCCGATTGTCAACCTGGCACATGTCCCAGGGAGTGGGGGATGATGGGCTATTATTGCTCTGGTATTTTTTTTGGGGGTTAACCCATGCGTTGACGCGAGTGGAAACCCATCACCGCGCTATGCTTAAGGGCAGGGTTGACCGCCTTACATCTTCTTGCAAGATTTATGGCTGGTTTTTTTTTTAAAAAAAAGATCTGCCAATTTCATAAAAACTTATTTCCTCAGTCTTCGGGTTCTAGGCTTTAAAACCGACCACTGCTCGCTTTCGTGCCCATCATTGAACTTATTTTGTATTGGTGGCGTCCTGGAATACTTGCTCAAATCTTTCATCAAGTAGGTCTCCCTATCTGTTTGTCGGTGTATCCAACAATCACGCAATAACCGATTGATGTAGAGACGTGATTTATACCTCATTGGAAAGGTCTCGGATCTGGCAGTGTCACGGGCATTTTTTTTCAGGGGGGGGGAGATCTCCAATCGTTGATGATGTATATTAAAAATTGCTTTAAGCCCCAAAATATGAGGTATGCATTGCATTCTGCAACTACATAGCGGCAGAGGAAAGTACACACTGTTCAGAGAGATGCATCTATGTTCTGCAACAAATGTATGGCAAACGCCCTGCTTGTCGGCCACCCCCAATCCTCCCTCCATAGGCTGCAGATCATCCAGAACTCTGCAGCCCGTGACCTCTCCCACACCAGGCTCTGCAAACCTATCACCCCCATCCTCGCCCGACTCCACTGGCTTCCCATCATGCAGAGGATGCAGTTCAAGATCCTGGTCTTCACTTTCACTGTGGCCTTGCTCCCCCCTACCTCAGAGACCTCCTAACCACCTATCAACCTGTCCTCTCCCTCCGCTCGGCGGGCTCCAGCCTGCTTCATGTCGCCCACTATTGGTGGGTGGATCTTAATCCACTCTGCCCCCACCCTCTGGAACTTCATCCAGCAGTCCCTCCACCTGCCCCCCCCCACCTCCTTCAGGACCCTCCTCTTCGAACGTGCCTTGCAGTCACCATCCTTCCATCTATATTTAGACTTTTAGACCTTTTCTGATAACAACAATGCTAATGGCAATCGAAAACTGATCTTTGAAACCTGTATGTTACAGGTTAATGTAACAGGGTGTGCAACACTTTCAGAATAAAAAAAGGAAGATAATGGCTTCGTACAAGCCTACCGCAATTCAGAGCTGCCCAAAACCTGGAAAGAAGATTACTCAGGACACCGTGTACTGGAAAAGTTACAAGGTAGGAGCAGCGCAAAATGTTTGGTGATGCCGAGGGTGGTGTGGGGGGCGAGCGAGGGTGGTGCGGTCGGGGGGGCGAGCGAGGGTGGTACGGTGGGGGGGCGAGCGAGGGTGGTACGGGGTGGGGGGGCGAGCAGGGTGGTGCTGGGGGTTGAGCGAGGGTGGGCCAGGGGGCGGCGAGTGAGGGTGGGGCGGGGGGCGGCGAGTGAGGGTGGGGCGGGGGTAGAGAGCGAGCGAGGGCAGTGGGGCGGGGAGTGATTGAGGGTGGTGGAAAGCAGGGAGTGATTGAGAGCGGTGGGGGGCAGGGATTGATTGAGAAGGTGGGTGTGGGGGGGAAAGAGTGATAATGGCTATATTAATTAATAATCTCAAGACATTGCTTAATTTTGAGTTCCTTGGTATAAAATGTGGACGAATGAATTCTGTTAAAACTTCGCCTTGCTCCCTCCCTTGCCTAGTTCAAGGCACAACTCAATATGCTCCTTTTCAAACGTGCCTTCAGCTGCCCTTCTACCTCTCTGCCCTCCCTCATCCCAACCGTGGCCTTCTACATTCGGGTCCTGATCCCTGACTGTTCAGCACCTTGGGATGTCCTCCTGATGTGAAATGTGCTTTACAAATGTAATTTTGTTGTTATTGTATAAAGTTCTGGATTTGAGCCATTCTCATTAGCTGAAAAATACCAGAAATGACAATTTTTCTTTCTTTCAGACTCCAATTCAGATAAAGGAGTTTGGTGCTGTAACAAAAGTCGATTTTTCTCCAATTGCTCCATACAACTATGCAGTAACAGCTTCTGCAAGGGTGAGTACAGGGTTTAGTATGCATTTGTCTGAAAACTATTGAGCATCCTCAATTTGATTTAGTTATATCGTATAGAGAATGTTACCCATAAGAACAATAATATTACATGTATTTCTATACAAACTTGTCTACTGTATTTGATAACATGTAATTGTTGCAATGCAAGTGTAGACAGGTGTGGGAGTAAATATTTCAAATGAACTATTTCATTGAACCTGTGGTGCTAATGTATTTCAAAATAATGCAAATTCTTGATGGACTAAAGAGCAAATCAAAGGCCCTCATTAACATGTGGCTTGCTACATGTGATTTTTTGTTATGCATTCAGATGATGCCTTTCACATCAGGAAGACATCTCAAAGTGCTTTGCATCATTTACTGCAGAGTATAGTGACATTGTATTTTGTAGGCAAACATTACAGCCAGTTTGTGCGCAGAAATGCCCGACATACAGTCATGAAGTGAATAACCCTTTATTATCTGAGGGATTGTTTGTCAGGACATTTGGAGAAACTCCCTTCTCCTTCAAATGCTGTTGTGAATTTTCAGTTGATACTGAGCAACCTTACTTGATTTTAAATAAGCAAAAGTATAGAACTTGAGTAATTATCCATAATTATAATAATCTTTGTATTTGATATAGCGCTTTTCGCATCTTCTAGATGTCTCAAAGTGCTTCACAGAATATGCTGTAAAGTGAATTGACCATATATTTGTGGGCGAATCTATTAATGTATATGTATTTTAATAATTGTTGGATTATTGTTTTGACAGACTCTTGTAAAAATTCTAACAACAGGTGCTTGCTTTCTAGGTTCACATATATGGTCGGTATTCTCAGGAACCTATAAAAACGTTCTCCCGGTTTAAGGATACTGCGTACTGTGGTACATACAGAGAGGATGGAAAGCTGCTTGTTGCAGGCAGTGAGGATGGTGTTGTCCGTCTCTTTGATCTTGGCGGCCGAGCAGCACTCCGCGACTACAGAGGACATACAAAGTAAGCTTATTATTGAGGAAGAAGTAACCAAACTGTAGGGTAACGAAATGTTAGCTCTGCTGCTAAAATAACATTAAACACGGTTGGATATTGCAATCTGGAATCTTTTTTTCTTTTGAGTTGTAATGTTATGAGAAATCAACAGAAAATTTACAGGATTACTTTTCTTTCCCTTGCAGAGGAGTTCATGTCACTGCGTTCACATCTGACAAATATCGGTTGATGTCTGGGTCAGATGATTACTCGGTCAAACTTTGGGACATTCCAACCTCAACAGAAATCTTCACCTTAACAGAGCATACAGATTACATCCGCTGTGGGTGCACCAGTAATTTAAATGCAGACCTCTTCGTTACAGGTAGGTAGTTCTGTGCTTGGTGGCAGTACATGAACAAAATGTAATATTTACCGCTGACCATTTGTCTCAATCTTTGCAGCTAATGATTGCGTTCATATCGAATAGTAAACCTCTTTAAAGAATTGGAAACATGATAGAATTAATCATTGGCAAAAATGTACAAAGATGACCTAATAAATGCTAGTCAGCACAAATTCAGAAGAGATAGATTTTGTCTGACCAATCTCACAGGCTTTCATAGAATCATACAGCCCAGAAAGAGGCCATTCGGCCCATTGGGTCTGTGCCGGCTCTTTGAAAAGAACTTCCAAATCAATCTCACTTCCCCGCGCTCTCCCCATAGTGCTGCAAACTTGTCTCCCAAAATAATTATCTACTCTATCAAAAGCTGTTTTCGAATTGGCTTCCACCACCCTTTCAGGTAATGCATTCCAGATCCGAACAACTCGCTGTTTGAAAAAAATGTCTCCTCACCTCCCCTCTGTCTCTTAACAACTATTTTAAGTCGGTGTCCTCGGGTTACCGACCCAGCGACCAATGGAAATAGTTTCTCCTTGTTCACCCTATCGAATCCCCCCATAATTTTGAAAACTTCTATTAAGTCTCCTCTTAACCTTTTCTGCTCCAAGGAGAATAATCCTAACTTCTCTAGGTTCTCCTCATGACTGAAGTCCCTCATTCCTGGTACCATCTTGGTAAATCCTCTGCACTCTCTCCAATGCCTTGACATCCCTCCTAAAGTGTGGTGCCCAGAACTGAACACATTACTAGCTGAGGCCTAACCAATGTTTTATAAAGGTTCATCATAACTTCCTGACTTTTGTATTCTATGCCCCTATTTAAAAAGCCTAGTATCCCGTATGCTTTTTTAACAGCTTCATCTACCTGTCCTGCCACCTTCAAAAATTTACTTATATGAACTCAAAGATTTACTTAAATGAATGTTTGAACAGGCACCATCACAAATTAACTGTAGAAGCCATAGTTTCTCAAACACTTCCAAAAAGTGTTTGAGAAAGTACAACATGAAGATCTCATTCACAGAATGTCACTGGCTATTAAGGGTAAGATGTGGACATTCATTTAAAATTAGCTGAAGGAATGAAGCAGAGGGCATTATTAGGGGAGATAGACCAAAATGATGAGGAGGGACAAAGTATTAAGTAGGATACCACATGGACCCCTCCTGTTCCTGTTTGACCTAGTTCACAGACACAATGTAAGATAGTTAAATTTGCAGATACACCAAGTTGGGGACAACTGGATGTGGAGGTGTTTGCAAATGTCTTACAAAGAAAGCTTGATAGGGTATGCACATGGGTTGATGACTAGCAAACCACAATCAATACAAGGTACAGCATACAGGAAGTATGAGTTGCATGTTTTCCATGGTTGGGATAGAACCTGCCAAAGGTGGTTAGAGACCAAAAGGTGTTGACTGTCCTGAATATCACCTTGTTATATCAATATGAGGCAGCAATCCAAAAGGGAGGCAGGATGCTGATATATTGCCAAATCAATTGAGTTTAGTTACCCAGAGTTTAGATCATATTCAAGCTGTGCAGTGCCCTGATCAGACCACAATTGGATTCTGGCTTCAGATTTGGTCAGTCACTCCATGACTGTTTGAGGGATACGGCTGGAAGGGTGCAAATTGGTATTCACCCGCAAAATACACAAAATATACCACTTTGTGTGACCAAGGGTAGGTATTCTGGAGAATGGAGATTAAATGGAATGAATGGCCTTCTTCACCCAAACTTTGCTTGTGAGTGGTAATATCCATTGCAGAAGGTGGAAATAAATTGCTGTCCTTGTATAGCAATGAGAAAAAGGTTGAATTGAATCGACTTTTCTGTATAACCTCTAATTTTGTTTTCTCTTTTCATTGCCTCATAGGGTCATATGATCACACAGTGAAGGTATTTGATGCACGAGCAGATAGTTGCGTGATGACTATGGAACATGGCCAGCCAGTAGAAAGTGTGCTGCTTTTCCCATCTGGTGGACTTTTAGTGTCAGCAGGTCGATATGCTTTTTTTTGACAATTTTCTACTTCAGTGCGATTTGTATAGCTGCATGAGGTTTGTTGAGGGCAGAGAATTGTATAATAATGGAGGTAAATTTCATGAAATGTTTAGCAAAGGGCCAACATAATCCTGTATAATCTTCTTATCTAAATGGCATTTAACCTCTTAAGTGATTTGTGCTTCTAATTCTTGAAACAAGTAATGCTTTATTAAGACCCCTAGTGTACAACTTTCCAACAAGTATTTTTGTTGATTTTATAGTTGCTATGTAGTATTTAAGTGAATGAATTGTGGTTTTAAGATCCCTGTTTTTTAATCTTAGCATTAAAAATAACAACAAATTACACTTGTTACAAATTACACCCTTCACGTCGGAAAGACATCCTGGGGTGCTGGGACTCGATGATAGCACTCGATGATAGTTTATTTTCCATAGCAATTAGTATATTCATGTACCATGCATTTCTGATTCTGTTGAGCATTTTAGTGGAGTGTATATTGTTCACTGAAATCAGTCCTCCCTCCCTCCTCCGCCAACCCCATAATTGGTATGTTAATGATGGTAGCTGTTCAAATATGGCAATTGGGTTTTAATAATAATAATAATAATAATAATAACCCTCGCATTTGATATAGCGCTTTTCACGTCGGGAGGACGTCCCAAAGCGCTTCACAGAACACACTGTAAAGTGAACTGACTGTATATTTGTGGGCGAACGCGGCAGCCAATTGCGCACAGCAATGTCCCACAAACAGTCGTAGATTGAAAATGACCAATTTAATTATTGTTTTTAGTTTTGGAGGGATTATTATTAGGCTCTGTGTGGAGTAAGGAAACTTGCCCAAGGTTTCACCCTCTGCCTGGAATTGAACTCAGGTCTCTCACTCGTAAAGCGAGTGCTCTAACCACTGAGCTACAGGACTCCACAGTGAGAGCGAGTGGGTGAGAAAGAGAGGACGAGAGCGTGAGAGATGGTGTGCGTGTGTGTGTGTGTACGTGACAGGCTGCGTGTGAGAAATAGAGTGTGTGTGAGAGTGTGAGCGTGTGTGTGAGTGTGAGCGTGTGAGAGAGAGTGTGAGCGTGTGAGAGAGAGAGAGAGAGAGAGGGAGGGAGGGATAGGAATTGGGGTGTAATGCCTCTCAAACTCCAACGCTGTCACACAGCTTCAGTGCAGTAAATCCGCACCCACACGTACACACGTCCGCGCCCGTAGTGTCAGATCCAGGCTGTGCTGGGGGGGGTTTGTGTGGGGTGGTGGTGGGGGGGAAGAGGATTATTTTTATAATTATATAATTATAATATTATAATTTTATAATTATAATAGGATTATAATTGCAATATCAGAATTAGTTACGTTGCTTTGAATCTTGCAAAGCCTACAAAGTGTTCTGAAACTTTCTAAACATTCTACAGCACTCTCCAATTTCAGTGCTAAATTGTGTTTTTGAAATTCTGAATGGAAGTTTTACCATTTTGAGAATGCGTAAACTTCCCATGGACTCTTCCTAATTGCTTGTAATTTCAATTTTAAAGGTGGCCAGTTTGTGAAAGTGTGGGATATGTTGAAAGGAGGACAGCTACTGGTTTCATTACGAAACCACCACAAGACTGTCACCTGTTTGTGTCTGAACAGCTCGGGACAGAGGCTGCTTTCCGGATCTCTTGATAGGTGGGAGACTTTTTCTTTTCATCAACTGAATTAGACTGGAGTCCAATACCACAAGGTCTCATACGAAATTTGTTATTTTGGAAGTTTACTGCTGAAAGAAAATTATGCTAGGTCCAACCCTGTAAGTGTATATATTCTTAAAATCCTGTATATGTACACTGGTTTTGTAGTTGGTATGAATTCCACTTATTATAATTTAAAATGTATTTTGTGAAACTAGTAATCCTTTAAGACCAGTGGTGTACAGCTTTTCCAACAAGTATTTCTGTTTATTTTATAATTGCTATGTAGTATTGCTATGTAGTATTGCTCTGCTCTGATCGCCTCATCATCCTGGGCGACTTCAACCTACACTTCACCCCCTCCTGCTCCACCTCCTCGGACTTCTCCTCCCTCCTCTCCTCACTCAACCTCTCCCTCCACATCAATTCCGCCATCCACGGCCACCCACTCGATTTGGTGATCACCCGGGGCCTCAGTGTCTCAGATGTCACCATTACCGATAAGGCCGTCTCCGATCACACTTCATCTCCTTCACCACCTCCACCCCCCTCCCTACCTCCACCAGACCCACCACCATCTTCTACCGTCTCTGGAAGAAGTTACCCCCACAATCCCTAACTGCTGCCTTGGAGTCCTCTGAAAACCCTCCCTTGATGCATCGCAGCTATCAAGCTACCGGCCCATCTCCAACCTCCCCTTCCTGTCCAAGGTTCTCGAAAGAGTCGTCGCCTCCCAGCTGCGCTCTTTCCTCTCCACCCACTCACTTTTATAACCCCTCTAGTCTGGTTTCCGTGCTGCCCATAGCACAGAAACCGTCCTGGTCAAGGTCACTAATGACATCTTGACCAGGGCTCCCTCTGCCTCCTCGTCCTCCTCGACCTATCGGCCGCATTCGATACGATCGACCACTCTATCCTCCTCCACCGCTTGTCCTCCCACCTCAACCTTCAAGACCCTGTCCTTGAGTGGTTTAGGTCGTACCTCTCCCACCATCTTCACTTTGTCTCTGCAAACGGCTTTTCCTCCATCCTGCGCACTGTCTCGTGCGGTGTCCCTCAGGGCTCTGTCCTCGGTCCCCTCCTCTTCACCCTCTATATGCTCCCCCTTGGTGACACCATCCGCAGACATGGGGTTAACTTCCACATGTATGCGGATGACAACCAACTCTACCTTTCCTCTTCTACCCTCAACTCCACGACCACCGATGTCCTGACAGCTGCCTGTCCGACATCGAGTCCTGGACGAGAGACAACTTTCTTCAGCTCAACGTGCGAAAAACCGAGGCCCTCCTGATTGGCTCACGTCAGCGCCTCCGCACCTCAGGCGCTGACACCATCAGCATCCAAGGCTGCACTCTCCACCTCTCAAAGCCAATCAGGAACCTCGGGGTTCTGTTCGACCCTGAGCTGTCCTTTCTTCCTCATATCCGCGCCACAACTGGCACCGCCTTCCATCACCTCCGGAATATCGCCAGACTACGGCACTACCTCACCCCTCACGCTGCTGAAACTCTGGTCCACGCCTTTATCACCTCAAGGCTGGACTATGGGAACTCTCTCCTCGTCGGCCTTCCCGGCACCTCCCTCCACAAGCTGCAGGTCATTCAGAACTCTGCAGCTCGTGTACTGTCCCGCACCAGGCTTCGCGACCACATCACTCCCACCCTCGCTCGCCTCCACTGGCTCCCCATCCCCCAGAGGATCGAATTCAAGATCCTCATCCTCACCTACAAGGCTATTCATGGCCTTGCTCCCTCCTACCTCTCCGACCTACTATCCCCCCACGTACCCGCCCGTACCCTCCGTTCCTCTGGCTGCTCCACATCCCCCGCCCCAACCGCCCTACCATCGGTGGTCGGGCTTTCAGCCTCTCAGCCCCGAGGCTCTGGAACTCCATCCCCCAGTGCCTTCACCTTGCTTCCTCCCTTTCCTCCTTCAAGGCCGGTCTCAAGACCTTTCTCTTTGACCGTGCCTTCAGCTACCCTCTCGTCTCTCTACCCCCTCCTTGCTCCCTCCCTTCCCCTCACCCTGACCATTTCCCCCCTGCTCGAGTGCCGACCCAACTGTCCAGCACCTTGGGACGTCCTCCCGACGTGAAAGGCACTCTATAAATGCAATCTTGTTGTTGTTGTATTTAACTTGTGTACTAAATAAACTCTTAATTTATAGACATGTCAAAATCTACAGTACCTCCACATACAAAGTAGTTCATAGCTTGGATTACACAGCCGCCATTCTAAGTCTTGCTTTAGCGGTAAGTGTGTTTTTGATATGGGTGGTTATGATGTTCAAAGGGATATTCAATGAACATAACTCAGATCTTTATATTGTGTTTGTATGTTTCTGAATGCTTATGCCTCTGTATCACTCTTGATATGAACCTGAACTTGTTTGATCCCAATATAGTAGAATATTCCCCAGTTTGCTATGGGAATGAAATTGGAAAAGGGAGGTGCGTAAATCACAAATACCATCAGATATGAATTAACATATCGTAGATGATTACACATATTTACATATAGTTATTTACAGTAATGGATTGATGCATGTTAAATGGTAACCAATTCCTTTTCAATATAGTTTTTATTTTGAATGCAATAATTTTCTGAGGCAGTAACAAAGTAATAAGTATAACTTGTTTGATACTAAGACCTCTCAAGATTTGCATAGTATCTAAAACGTTTTATATTCACTTTGAAATTACTTGAAGTAAATGGAGTTTGTTTATTCTGCAATTTTAAAAGTCAGTCAAAGAAGTTACATTGTTTTATTTTAGTGTAGAAACACGATTGCTTTCCTCCCACTGAATGTGGAACAGGTCAGTGTCCCAATGGTGCAGTGTATAATTAGTAAAACCTTATTTGAAGGGTAATAGGATGTGGATTCCTTGTCAGTGTTTCTCTACAAAGTTTTTCTAGCCTTGGCTTAGTAGCTGAATTTGAGAATAGTCAATAGAGGAAATTAAAGTACAGGTAATTCTGCTTTTTTGAGGGCCTTGTAGTTAAAGCCAGAGGTTTAGGAACAGGTAGCCTGACTCTTTTTTTGGATGAATGCAAGGGCCAAATATGTTATAACTAGTATCAAAACTGGGATGTGATAAGATTGGATACACCTTTTGGGCTATAAGAAAAATCTTTATACTGCATTGATTTATTTTTAAATGTCACTTTGTTTTAGCCTGAAGATGAGGCAATCGTTGTAGGAATGACAAACAGTGTCCTCAGTGTTCGGCATCGGAAACAGAATGAAAAGAAACCCAAAGCCACAATTAAGAGGAAAGGTCCATCCTACAGATATTTCATAAAAGGAAAAGATTACATGCCAAAGAAGGTGAGCAATTTAATGTGCAAATTCAGTAAGGGGCTGAAATGTTTTACATTATGAGGATACAATATTAAAGTCCTAAACTGGCCTGTCTTAGATGTTGTGCTGTGTATATTTCCTGTCATTTACTACAAGGTGATATGGTCCTTTTTATTCTACGTGAAATTCACTTGTTTATTGAAATTTACCATTATGTTAAGTGAACTTTCTCTCCTGTTAAAATAAAAAAAATTGTCTGCCTTCTGATTACCCCTCGTCCTCTCGTCTCCCATCATCGGTGACCATGCCTTCAGCCACTACATCCCGAAACTCTGGAACTCTCTCTCATTTCCTCTGCCTACCCTCCCTACCCACTTTCAACTTCCACCTAAAGACCTTCCTTTTTAATTGTGCTTACGGTCACCTTCCCTCTCCCCCTGGCTTGGCGTCAGACTCCACTGCTATCAAGTATTCCGGGACGCTGCCCCATGTGAAGGGTGCTATATGAATGCAACTTATTGTCAGTTGTGAATTTTAGATTTCTCAATGCACTACAACTGAAAGCTTGCAGCTAACTACATTGTCAAAAGGAAAACAGTCTCCTTTAATATTTTTATTCACCATTGCATATTCCTATATACTGTGAGCAAGCTGCATTGTCCCTTTCCACTACCATTTTCTGTTCTTCCACCTTACCAGTTCCTTTCCAGTCTTACTCTCTGTTACTCTTCTTCATCCCCGTGCTTAACCACTTTCAAATATAAATAATCTCTTTCAGCTTTCCCAATTTCTCAATATTCTGTATAGCATAGAAATTTATAACATAGCACTGGCACCATAGCAAGTTGTTTATTCAATCCCACTGACCTTCCTTATCTTTATATCCCCTTCAAGCCTCTAGCTTTCATGTACTTGTCCACTTTTGTCTTAAAGCCCACAATGGATCCAGCCTCTTCCACCTTACTTCAATAGGGCTTTCCATAACTTTACAACTCTGTGAAAAATTCTAAGCTCTACATTCATTCTTGTGATCATCTTGTATCAATCTATTTCCTTGAATCACTGATTCTGCAACCAGTAGAAATAGCTTCCCCCTATTTACCATCAGAATTTTATACACCTCTATCAAGTACCCTCTCCACCTTCTCTGCTCCAATGAAAACAGACTCAACTTCTCCAATTTCCTCATATCTACAGCTCGTCATTCCTATGTAGCAATCCATCTTGTAAAATCACTGGATGCTACAGTTTGGGGTTTTATGTAGTCTCTTAAACTCTCATCTCTGCCATTTAGTACTGCAGTCAATTTTGAGTGAGCAAATGGTTTGCAAATGCTAGTTTTCTTCAAACGTAAATAATTTAAAATATATTCTGTAAAAAAAAATTCTATTTTTATAAGTATTATTTTAAGAATCTACATTTCTGACAGTACTGAGACTATTTTCATGTCATTTCTTTTCCTAGGATGACTTGTTGGTCAGTAGGCCAATGAAGTTACGCCTGAAGAAATATGACGAGCTGCTGAAAAGTTTCCAAGTGTCCCGTGCACTGGATGCCGTGCTGGAGGTAAGGAGCTCTACTCTATTCAATAGGATGAGTAATCGATGAGAAAAATTTCCTTGTGCAGTTCACTAGGTTAAATGGTATTGAAATTCACTTTGAAATAGAAAGGTTCTTCGACTTCAGTGGAAATTGCTTATTTGGAGTAGATTTATTGTGGAAAAAGTAAACTAGCCTTTAATTTGAAACCTTGCAAAAACTTTGAGGGTATTCCACATTTTTCTTTTTTTCCCCCTTTTTGTTCTCGCTGAGCCATACAGCTGCTGCACCCATGTGGGCAGATATATGACCAGCTCCCAGGCCTGGGATTTTTGAGCTGATAATTGGCAAGTGCAAAAGTGACTTAAGGAATGTTGTTACTTTCTTCCTAGCCACTCCTTTTAACTCAGTGCCTCGGTTAATTTCATTTGCTCCCTCCAGTAGGACATAATACAGAATGTACCCCACCATTTTGTGGCTTTGTATGTCAAAGACATGTCTTATCATGTGATTTGAAAACTTTGAAAGTATTCACAGCATGTAGAAGCTCACTTCATAATTTTCCACTTATACAGAAGGTACTGCTTCCCCTACAGAATTATCAGCATTTGATACATCTATTAGATTTGTGGAATTATTCACTTTTAAGGAGTTTGAATAGGTAACAATGGATTAATTTCTGTATTTCTACATGTGATTTGTTCAGTTATGTTGTATGTGATATTAAAAAATGGCTTTTGGTATTTGAAACATAGAATCTTATCCATTTGAATGGCAGCAAAGGAGACACTAGACCTGCATTAGTCAAGCATTAAAAATATCTGTTATGATCTTCCCTTTCTTTATGTATTCCCGTATTAGGAAATATTTTTTCCTTTCCTCATGATTTTGGAGATAAGATAGATCAGACTTGGGATCAAGGTGTGCAAAACTCACGCACCATCGCTGCTTTTTACCAAATCTAGAACTCTGCTTCAATTCCTCTGCCTTGCTCCCTCCTTACCTGGCTTTAGATTTCATCTGAAGACCTTCCTTTTTGACTGAATGTACTGTCACCTTCCCCCTCTCCTTGGCTCAGTGTCAAACTCCACCACTGATAAGCCCTCCGAGACCCTACCCTGTGCTTCAATTAAAGGCGTGGTTTAAAAACAATCATGAAGGCCACCGTTAATTACCACTATTAGATGGTGTATTAGTGTAAGGGCGTAAAACATTCTTGAGTCATTTACATGAGAAAGTATTCTTTAAATTGTTATTTCAGTAGAGTTGCCAAGAATGTCCAATGATCAGTTTTATCTCAGTAAACTACTTCAGTCAAATCATTCAGACAACAATTTTATTTAAACATAGTGATTTTTACAATTTGGCAGGCAAAGTTTTGGTTTTTAAAAATGTTCCTAATTTAGTAATGATTAAAGGAAACTATTAAGCCACAATTACTGGTTGCATTCCATTGGTGCTTGGTTGGCATCTCCCACTGTTTTCTAACTAAATCTTACTGTCTTGCAGACAAATATCCGGGTGAAGACACCAGAAATCACTGTAGGGATTATGCAAGAACTTAACCGTAGAGGGACACTTGCAAATGCCCTGGCAGGACGAAATGAACAACAACTGAGTCTCCTCCTTAGCTTCCTTATCAGGTAATAAGATTTTGCCTCTGAATGTGATATTGCTAACTTTTTGGTATAATTTTTACTCTGCTGGATTTGGGTTTGGGCCCAGTGATGTAAGCTTCAAACCATTGGGTAACACCAGTAGTAATTGTTATTTTAAAAAAAAATCTTCATGGCCTTCTGTTTGTTTTCTCGACTGCGTATATGGTGGCAGATGACCTAAGGGCTGGCAGATACTCAAGAACAGTCAAACTAAAGATAAGCATAGACATGATTGGCTGAATGGCTTCCTTCTGTCTTGAAACTTGCTTTCTATGACTTGTGCTCTGATTTTCCTCTCTCTAGGGCACAAAATCTAAGATACACATTTAAGCTAATCGGTGAAGTTACCAACTTTGGCTGTGTTGGCCTATAATGGGATTTCTTTACCATAGGTATGCTAGCAAGGTCTAACTTTACCAAGCAGCTAAATGTGTCTATTTACCCCCATTTCCCCTCCCCTTCCCTGTTGATAATGTGGCAAATGTTGGGATCACCAGTTCAAGCCTATTTCTTGCGACCAAATAGCCGTAAATTGGAAGCCGAAAACACTGCATCAACAAAGGTCACATGCAGCAGTGTTTCAAAAAATATTATTGAATGAACATTATGCTGTGGGCACTAAAGTGAAAGGCAAAAAGGTTAATCAATCTTCTTGCTTTAGTATTGTTACTTGTTGCTTTAAGAGTGAAATATTGTTAACACTTTATCCTGTTTCATTTCTGACTTATTTGGTGAGTGAATTGCAGCTGATCTTCAACATTGTTTTGCATAAGTTTCTAACCATGTTGCTGAGCACAGGATTATAATTTTTTAATGAATTGGGATGTTAACCGTAAGATTTTTTTTCCCCCCTTCCAGGCATATTGTTGATCCACGATTTACACCTATTTTAATAAATGTTGCAGAGATTATTATTGGTAAGTTCTATTTTCATCCCCCATTTGTTATCTCTGGGATGCTACCCCGCGTGAAGGGTGCTATATAAATGCAAGTTATTGTTGTCTTGATTTGGCTTGACTAATTTATTATAATAATAATAATAATCATTTCACAGTTTTAGGTGTTTGGAAGGGACTTGTTTCAAGTGGTCTTGTGGTGACTAGAATGTGTTCAAAAATAGTCTGGAATGAGCTGTAAAGAATTGCTTGTCCTCTGTTCATCGTGTGTCAGCTTGGCTCACTGGTAGCACTCTCGCCTCTGAGTCAGAAGATTGTGGGTTCACATCCCACGTGGAGACATGAGCTCACCTAGTCTAAGCTTACGCTCCAATGCTGCGCTGGAGGGGTGTTTCTTTGTTGGAGGTGCCATCCTTTAAATTAGATGTTATACAGAGTCCCGTCTTTCTGTCGAGGTGGACGTTAAAGATCTCGTGGCACCATTCGAAAAGAGAATGGAGTTTCATCTGGTGTCCTGGCCAATAATCCCCCAAACAAATTTGGTTCTTTGTTTCATGGCTGTTTGTAGGACAGTGCTGTAAGCAATTGTGCTACTGAGTTTGCTTACAAATACATAGTCACTCCATTTCACAGTAATTCCTGTCAAGCACTTTGAAACATCCTTCCAACGTGATAAGGTGCTACACCAAATGCAAGGATGATTATTAATAATAATAATAATATTAATGCCCCCATGGCCAAAATAGGAATTTGCTTTCTGGCTGAGCCTCAGCCAACCTTGGCACGTTTTAAAGAAATATAACTTATTAGATATTTAATTAAAATTATTGATGACTTGAATCCAGTGGAATCATGTGCATTTTCCCCATATTGCCCAATTTTTAACTGTAGTTTAAAACTCTTTGCCCAAGCCCATGTTTCCTTTACTGCATCAGGCTAATGTTAACATATACACAACATATCGTTGAGTAAACAAGCTCTCTATCTTGTCCTCTCCCACACCCCTTTTCACCTTTTTTTTTTTCTCCTCCACCCTTAAATGTTGAAATGAATGCAGAATTTGTTAGTTCATGTTGTAGATATTTTTTCTTTTGTACTTAACATTGGAGATGTTCATTCTGGGACGGAACACTTAGTACTCGATGTTAACAGTTCGTGCTATCAGGTCTGCTTAAATATGGTCAGAGGTAGAGTCGGAATCCCTCTATTATGACCCAAGGATATACTTTGACCCCAATCTTGAGCACTCTCTACCACTCTAGTATAAGTTATAATACTTGCCATAGTTACCATAATTGTGGTCAGTCAATTCATAAAAAACTATGATCTGTTTTGTGTTGCTACTGTTTCATTTAATTTCTTAAATCCCGTCCAGCTGTCAGTAAGTATTCATAGGTATAGCTAGATTTGAACCCAAACGCTGGCGATTAATGAGCATGATCATTTTTCTTTACGAACTTCAAAGATTCTGACTCCATTCAAATATAAATCATTTATAGTTTTTATGATTGTTTTTAACAAAGTGTTGGGATATGAATTTGCTGCAGAATGGCGGCCTGGAGGCCAGGTGTTTAATGTGGGGTGTTGAGCTTGTTGCCACCGGCCACTCTTAGTTGCTGACTCTGTGCAATATTGCTAGGGATCTGGGAGCAGTTTGGCTGCAATTGGTATGTGGGAGGCCAGTAATTTATAATTATGATATTTCTAGGTAATTGTATCCTATAAATTGCTTTAACGCATTCATGCAATTTTTTCTCTCGTTTTAGATATTTATAGATCTGTGGTTGGCGAGTCATCGGTAGTTGACAATCAATTTCTGAGGCTGCAGGACTTAATAGGGAGAGAAATTGACTATCAGGAAGAACTACTTGAGGTTCTCGGAATGATGGATACACTCTTTGCTACTATAACAGCCAAAAAGGAAGCTGTTGTCCTTGGAAATCAGAACTGTGCCATTGCTATTGGAAATAAGATGGAAGAGTCGATGGTAGTCGCCTAAAACTGCAATTTGCCACTGGTATAAGACTGGATTAGGTAAACTGGGACAAGCATTTTTCCTGATGTAACAGATTATTGAATAACCACCAATGATTTGAAGATAGAGAATAAAATGTTTATGGAGCATTTGCCCATATTGTACACATGCTGTTGTGCTATAGCCAAATGAAAAATTATTTTATTGCATCTTCTCTGAGTATAGCACAATATCATGGAAGCAATACAGAGAAGGTGCAACATGTATCAGAGTCCAATATGGCTGACTCCCATATTCCCATGATGTTGAATATGGTTAGGGGAATAGCTGCTATTTTTAGCACCGGAGCTTCATTAGCAGCAAGATTTCGCAAGTAAGAATTGTGACTGAATTCTGGAACAGGATGAAAAAAGTTAAATTAGTATCAAGTAAGGCAAATGTAAGGGGTATTAGCTGAATTGTCAGCTTCAGAGCCTCGTGGACTAACTATTATCTGGTGCTTGTATTTCATACCAACCTGACCTTTACCTTCTAGAGTGTACTTTATGCATTGTACTCGTTGCAAGGAATTGAAAATTTAAGCAAAAATGTACTTATCCCTCAAATCAATTTTAGATTTCATTTCTGTCGACTATTTTTTGTCTTAGAATAAATGTTTTCTAGTATCTGTGACCAATTCAAGTAACTTTTGAAAACTCTTTTGATGTCTTCATAGCATATCAATTGCACAGTTGTACACAGAAGTGTTTTGGGCTCGTTCCTTGTTCTGTGCTGAATTAGCTGATTTCGTCCGGAGCAGTTGTGGCGATGCTGCACTAAACCTTCATTATGGAGGGGAAAATGTTGGCCACAACATTCTTCCTTGATTGTATTTGCAAATCTCAATGGGATCTGTATAACTATGGATGCCAAGTTAAAATCTTGGCATTCATAGTTGGGCCCTTCCCCTCCCCAATACTGCTCAAGTTTCTGTCCAGGATCACACATTTTCAGGAGAGGAAAAAGTAATGTTCACAATTTTTTTTCAATGTGACTCAATTGTATATCAAATCTACTTTTATATGGTGGAATCTAGAGAAGGTTAATCTTAAATAAATGTTATCCTATTGTTTTGGCTAAAATGTATAAACATTTTACAGGACTTTGTATCTTTGTTTCCCTTATTCATGCAGGATATTGCAGTAGACATGTTGGTTATTGAAGGATACTTTGCCACTGATTAGATAAAATTACTGTGGGAATAGATTTCTAATTTTTTGATATCAGGCCTGTAAAACTGTACTCATTGAAGTATTAGGAAAGTAAAACAGTTTCATGGTAATAGAACTTACTAAGCAAGTCATGTCCTTGCACCCAGTCATTTACTTCAGTTCCTGAAAGATCTGTTGTGTTATCAGTATTTCTGGAATCTCTTGTGTTGTGAGTTTAAATGTTCCAAATTGCAGCAAAGGGAAATGTACAGCTGATCTGGGTAGCACTACTAATGGAGTTCATTCTGTTCCACAGCAATGTGTGAACTGTTCTTGCTTTGAGTTGCATCTAAACTCTGATGCAAAGAAATAGCTGTGTTGCACAAAGTTTCTCTGCTCAGTTGGATGTTGAGAGAGCTGTGTACAATATCTAGTTGATCAGCTCTTTTCCGCACTCCTGCTATGTTTCTCCATAAAGCAATAGAAACTGGTTAAAACCCAATGATTGTTGATGACAGCTCACATCATTCATGAATATCCTGCACAGTTCTCAGTAGCTAAGGCCCAGAGAAGCAGATAACTGCTGTCCTCTCAATGAGGCAGGTGATGGTGTAAAATAAAAACACATGGCTCCCAGATAGAAACTACTTTTTAAAACTAAAGGGTCTGTATATAGTAATCATCAAACATTGTGGTACAGATTAATATCCCAACAGTGTAATTCAGTCAGATGTTCAATGGACTGCTTTCTTAAAATATTTATTTTTGAATAAAACATGGCATGGGCTACTGGCTCAAGATTTCAGTTATTAGAATCATATGTTTTAATTTGTTTTAATATAAGGTATAGATGTATTGGTTCGATTCTTGAACCTCTGAATAGTTTCTGTATTGCTTTAAAATGGAGTAGCTTTCTCTTTCCACCCCCCCACCCACCCCCCCCCACCACCAACTCTCCAATGTGTGGCCACAGAAGACCTGATAGAGAAATAACTTAGGGTTACGTGTGTGCACGTAGCTCCTTCCAGTAATGTTCAAAATCTACTCGTAGCAGAACATAAAATTCCTTGCGACTAAATTCCTGAAATTCTAACATTTCTTCAATAACTACAAATTACAAATAAGTCCTTTAAAAGAAACTTAACCATATTTTTGGGTAGCTGTTGAATTGATCTTCCCCAGGAGGTTTCACATTGTAGTGATTCTTCGTTAATAATAGTGATGGTAATGGAAGATGGTGCCCATGATGATTTTTCATCATGAGTTGACCTGGCTTATGTCCTCATTTTTCACTCCCTCCTCCACTGTCAGTGTTTATTTTGGGTTGTGTTAAAGAAGATATTTAATGTGCACCATTTTATATTTTAAAAAATCTTCTTTTGTTTCCCAAGCCTTATGATTTTCACTTGTAACTTTTTGCAAGGGACCTGAAGGTTTGGTCCAAACAGTACAAAATTTGCAGGGGTCAGGAGGCTCAGATAATATTATCTAGACTCTGAGTCAGAAGGTTGTGGTTTTTAGGTTGTAGTCTAGGTTGATACTCCATTACAATGCTGGAATGTAAGAGGTGCCATCCTTCAAATGAGACTTTAAAACCAAAGTTCTACCTTCTATTCAGATGAATGTTAAAGATCCCATGGCACTATTCGAAAAGAGCATTACCAATAATCCACGGATTAATGAAAAAAAAGATCATTCCCTTCCTGGTTGTTTGTGAGACATTGCTGTGCTCTAATTGGCTGCTGCATTTGCTTACAGATACACCATCATCCCACTTTTCAGAAAGTTGAAGCAGTTTGAGATGTTTCAACATGATGATGTGTTATACCAAATGCAAGGATTATTATTAAACTACATTCATTTAGTGTGTCTAAAAGCTTGTTTAAAGGGTGGAGTGTGTTAAAAATATTTGCAAGTTCAGTGTTCATTGTTGAATTTTAGATCTCTTAACTGAATTTGAATAAGTGATGCCTCAAATCCATGCTGAACTGCTCAACCCTCCCTCTCAAAAATAATTATTTCAGTTTGTATCAAACTGAGGAGTTTGATTCAAAAATATATATTTTTAAAGTATTTCAACAGCTTTCTCAATTGTTTCCTAATCAAATATGAAATGGGGTATTTAGATAAATTGAAAGTGTCATAAAAGCTGCAGTGATTATTAACATTGCATGCTTGCTAGCAAAGATGGTGTCTTATTGTACAGTTTATTCAGAAATGTAGCTGTTATTACTAAAGCTAAACAATCCATGTTATACCAGACAAATTTTGCAGTTCATTGGACATGAAGACACACTTAAGATCAAATAGAACTTGCGAATGATTATATTATTAGTTATCCATGCTGCAATTCAGAAAGAAAACATTCCACAGCATGATGACCTTTTCAGTTAGCATCCAGCTGAAATCCCTACTATCCATTCCTTTCACCAACAATACCACATCAGAAGGAAATGGAATTCTAGCAATGTCAGCCATCAGATAAGTTGGGGAAAAAATCAAGAATAAACCACAATATTGAGCACTTTCCAATGTTGCTACTCTTGCTTTGTCTCCATATTTGTAATAAAACATTGATGCAGCAACTGGTAATTCTAAATATTGTTCTGTTTTATTATTACAAGGCGCCAAATGCCAGAGCATAACAGAATAAAATGATGCTGCATTTCACTGTTTTATCATCATAGTTTGCCTATCAATCCCCATCCTCACCAGGCTCCACCTAATGGATCAATTTCAACAACAATTTGCATTTATACAGCGCACCTCATGCAAGTTAGCGTCCCAGAGCTTTTTGTCATTTCAATGTCATCACCCTCACCTATAAATCACTTTGTGCCCAAGAACCTCCTCGTTCGTGTGAACTTTTCCTTCGTCACACTTATGCTCACTTGGCAAATACTGGCCTGCTGTAAATTCTCTGCTCCACCACTGGTGGCTGAGTCTTCACTAACCTTCATCTTTTGTAGCTCCCACCATTTTGCCCCTTCTCAATCTTTAACTCCAGCCTAAAAACCTACCACTTCAATCATGCACACAATTATCTCCTTCCCCTCCTTCCTTGTTTGGTAGATAACACTTATGATGAAGTGTTCCAAGGTGTCACTGCTGTCCACAATGGGGGAGAAGGAAGAGTAAATCTTTGATGTATCCTTAACAAATTTTGGGTTTATTTACATAATTTACAGGCTTATTGCCAAGGAGAGCAGTTCCCTCTTACCCCCATTTTTTGCTAAGCATATGGTTTTATATATATATATATATATATATGTGTTACTTCTGTAGATGTTGGGCTGGTGGTGGCAAAATTAGAGGGGGGCCTCTTCCAAGACCAGGGGCATCACTGCAAGACAACAACAACTTGCACTTATAAAGCGCCCTCTACACAGGGTAGCATCTCAAGAGTGCTTAACAGTGGTGGAGCCTGATTCTGAGCTGGAGGGTCGTGGGAGGTGACCGTAAGCACGGCTGAAGAAGGTTTTCAGGCAAGACTTGAAAAGGGAGAGAGGGGGTACAGTGGAGGGATTGAGGGAGAGTGTTCCAGAGTTTTGGGGCATAGTGGCTGAAAGCGCGACCTCCGATGGTGGGGTGGAGGGTGCGAGGGATGAGTAGGAGACCGGTGCCAGTCGAGTGGAAGCGCCGGTTGATGGATTTGGGGAGTGAGGAGGTTGGGGAGGTGTCAGGGAGTGAATGGATTTGAACACAAATGTGAGGATCTTGAAGTCGATCCTTTCGGTGATGGGGAGTCAGTTCTGGCCAGAACTGGTGAGATGTGGGTGCGGAGTTTGGTTCAGGTCAGTATGCGGGCGGCAGAGTTCTGAATGGACTGGATCTTTTGAACAGTGGAGCTGGGGAGACCGGCGAGGAGTGCGTTGGAGTAATCCAAGTGGGAGGTGACAAACGCATACACAAGGGTTTCGTCTACATTTAGGGTAAGGTACAGTTGGAGGCGGGCAATGTGGCCGAGGTGGAAGAAGGTAGTCCTGGTCAGGGACCATATGTGGGAGAGGAAGGACAGCTGGGGGTCGAACCATACGCCTAGATTGCACACAGGTTCAGTGAAAGTCAGGTAGAGCCCAGGGACGTTGAGGTGTTCAGATCCGCAGGAGTGAAGATGTTGACGGGAGCCCAGGAGTATGGCTAAAAGTGTCATGTAGACACTTCCTACATGAACACAGCTATATAATGTAAGTTGTATATAAACATTTGAAAGCGCAAATAATTGTTTTCACAAGTTCTGAAGCATATTATTCTACTTTGGGACGTCCTCCTGACGTAATAGGAGCTATATAAGTGTAACTTGTTTTGTGTAAAGTTAATCAAAATTAATCTAACTTTAAATCCAGTGGCTGTTAGAAAAGTTAATAAATATCATCAAATGTAGGGAGAAATTTGTAGTATGTGAAGTGTTAATTGTCACATCTCATTTCCCACAATTACCACAATTACGCAGTTATTCTGAAATTTACTGAAAAGAGCTTTGGAATCACATTTCCTAAAAAAAACTGCAGCTTTTCATCACTTAATTCCAACAAAACAAACTATAGCTAATGTGATAAATCTTAAAATATGTTTGGTACAATTTCTTATGCATTCAGCTCACTCAATGCTAAAACTTGGAACTCAGAACTTTTGAGTTTTCAGAATTGAACACAAGATGGCGACATTGGAACATACATTCATCCATTTATTAATTTTTTTTTATATATACCAGTGTAACCGATTTACAGCAGTTACAAAATCAAGTGCGTCAATGAATACGTGTTTCAATGTCAGTTAATTCATTGGTATTCAATCTAAAGATTTTTTTTTAAATGAGGACTAATAATATTCCCTCAAGAAAATAAAACAATAATAAATTGGTCACTTCAAGCCATGACTGTTTGTGGGACACTGCTCTGCGCATTTGGCTGCCACATTTTGCCCACAAATATACAGTCAATTCACTTTACAGTATATTCTGTGAAGCGCTTTGAGACGTCGAGAAGATGTGAAAAGCGCTATATCAAATGCAAGGATTATTATTATTACTGTATTGATTCATTCAGAATACTTTAATAAAGTGCAAATATTTTCAACTGAAATACAATATAATAATATGTTATTTGCAGAATATTTCAAGAAATGATCACCTGACTACACTGACAGTGGAAGAACTTGGAAGAAGATGATTCGCTTTGGGAAGGAGAAACACTTGGGGGTGGTGTTATTTATGTCATGACCCTTGACCAGTTTTGTGGGATGGGATTTTTTTTTACAAAAGTTTGCATGTTAAACGTGCCAATTATTTTCTTGGTATATATAATGATTTTCTTGGAAGACTATGTGAGGGGTAATTCTCTGCCTTCTAAAATTATTTTTGCACCATTTCCCAATTGGGTCTTTATTTCTGCATCTCAAAGCCATTCATCTGAGATTTGGAAAAGATGTTTGTTTTAAAACAAATGAGGAGAGCTGTTATTTTGTCACCCTGGATTCCATTATATTCTTGCTTCCTTCTGTGCATCTTATGGGAAGGAAAAAGCTGCTCCCATGAGGCTTTTAAAACAAATGGAATCAATCACAATGCAGTTAAGTGGTAACATTCATTTGGACAAGGGAGCAATGCAGACCATTTGGGTCGAGAGTTAACAATAGAACCTTGGTTTGTGGAATGATTGTTTAATTCCTTCAAATTATTTTTTTCTTTGGATGAGACATTAAACGGAAGTTCCAGCTGCCTGTTCAGGTGAATGATAAAGATCCCATGGCACTATTTGAAAAGAGAAGGGAGTTTCTTCTAGTGTC